ATGTACAGTCGGATCGCATATTTCGGGCGCTTCAACTCATTGTGATGACGTCCCGAAAGAGAGACGCTGAGACGACGCTGAGCCTCGGACGCCACCAGTGTGGGGGCGGGCGGATATGACCAGCGGTCCAGCTCTGGCCCAAGAGATCAGTCCCCGCTTTGTCGATTCGAATCATGACTAAGCGTAATGATGACCAGTCCCAGTCTCGGGCCTCAGCGATATGAGCGATGACTCTCACATCCCCGAATACATTTTCGCAAGGTGCGAGGACCCCCGACTTTGATCCCGTCTTAAACAGCAAATCTAACTACGGTGGTAGATGGTTGATACCAGGATCGTTGGGTTCAGACTCTGTCCGTGCTTCAGACTCCGGCCTCTGGATGGATCGGGGCCCTCCTCCTCTCACTTGCTGTCATCCGTCGCCTATTGGAGTCAGCTTGGAGGCTTGGAGCCATCGTGGGGTCGCATTCGGATCGCGGGATCAACTTGGGGTGCCTGGGCAGGACTGTGCATCCGCAGTTGCATGAGACATCTTCGCCATTGAGTGCATATGTTTCTCAGCTACGTCTGCGGGGCTCGCCTCGTCTTTTTCCTGGCTGTTGCGCCCCTCTGCCACTGGTCGTCGTGCTGCGCGTGGTATTCGTCGTAAAGCTCATGGGGTCCGTCGTGCTGCTCGTGGTACCCGTCGAGCTGCTCATAACTCCTGGAACACCGTTGAGCTGGGCAGTCAAGTGCGGGCTGCTGTGTCCCCGGCGGTCTGGTGCGAGCTATCGTGTCCAAGGCAGTCTGGTGCAAGCTATCGTGTCCCCGGCGGTCTGGTGCAAGATATGGTCTCCCCATCAGTCTGGCGCAATCTATCGTGTGCCTGGTAGTCTGGTGCGAGCTATCGTGTCCCCGGCGGTCTGGTGCAAGCTACGGTGCGAGCTATCGTGTCCCCGGCAGTCTGGTAAAAACTTATCGTACCCCCCGCAATCTGGTGCGAACTATCGTGTCCCCGGCAGAGTGTCCCCGAGTTATCGTGTCCCCGGTGGTCTGGTGCAAGCTATCGTGGCCCCCGCAGTCTGGTGCGAGCTATCGTGTTCCCAGCAGTCTGATGGAAGCTATCCTCGGCGGTCTGGTGCGACTTATCGTGTCCCGGCGTGGAACTCGTCCAAAAGCTCATCGTGTCCGTCGTGCTGCTCGTGGTGCCCATCGTGCGGAGTTGAGCTGGAGTTGGAGTCAGTGTCAGAATTGGCGCGGACATGGAGCAAAAGTGTCCTCGGGTCTCGGATTTGCTATTAGTTTTGGCGCGGCCCCGGCGTCATATCGGCCCTGGCGTCATATCGGATCGAGCGGTTCCACATGTCAATTCAGGGGGTGGGGGAGCCAGGCGCGGCTGCGAGGCGGCTTGTCCACGAGCTAGGCGCGCCGGCCCGCGCCCGCTGCCTGGCCACAGCCCCGCGATTTCACGGCGCAGCCAAGCAGCGACAGCAGCAGCAGCAGCAGCAGCAGCAGCAGCAGCAGCAGCAGCAGCAGCAGCAGTGACAGCTGCAGTAGCAGCACGCCAACTCCGACGCCGTGCGCGGGCTCCAGGGGCAACACCTCCACGGTCACGACGCCAAGTCCGGCTCGGACCCAGTTGCAACGTTCGCACGGGGGCCCATGCCCATTTCGGCACACCCCTCACGCGCTTCGTGGCCCCACAGGGAGCTCCACATAAGGGATCGCTGGCGCCATTCACATGCGGCCTCCCGCCCATTTCGGCGCCCTCGTGTCCCCACGGTGGGCCTTACCTATTTCCGTAGCGCCAGCGTTCATGCGGAGCCCTGCCCATTTCGGCACACCCTTCACGCGCGTTCCGCGGCCCCATAGGGGGCTCCACCTAATGCCCCCAGCGGCGACACTCGCACGCGAACCCCGCCAATTTCGGGACACCCCTCACGCGTTTCATGGCCCACAGGGAGCTTCAGCTAAGGCCCCAGTGGCGGCGTTCGCGCCGGGGACCATGACGGCGCACCTTCACACGTTTCGCAGCCCCGTAGCGAGCTCCACCTACTGGCCCCGCTGGCGACATTCACTTGCAGACCCCCGCCCATTTTGGCACACCGTTCACACTTTTTGTAGCCCAGTATGGGCTTCCACTTGAGGTCCCAATGGCCACGCTCGCTTGCAGCCCCACCCAACCCATTCTAGCGCACCCCTCGCGCGTTTCGCGGCCCCATACGGAGCTTTATCTAGGCCCCTGTGGTGACGTTCGTGTTCGCACCCCCGCGCATTTCCGCGCACACCTCGCACGCTTCGTTGCCCCATGGGGAGCTCCATCTGAGGCCCCAGTCGCGACGTCCGCGTGAGGACCGCCGCCTCTTTCAACACATCTCTCGCACGTTTCGCAGCTCCGTAGGGCGCTCCAACCAAGGCCTTCGGGGCGACGTTTGCATGTGGACCCCATCCAATGCCAGCCCACCGCTCACAAGTTTCGTGGCCATCCCGGGCGCTCCACCCACGGCCCAAGTGATGACTGTCACACGCGGGCCCCCGCGCATTTCGGCACGCCCCCTCCCACGCTCCGCGGCCCCATCGGGACATCCGCGCAAGGCCCCAGTGGCGACGTTCGCGTGCAGATCCCCGCCTATGCCGGCATCCCCCTTCCACGCTTCGTGGCCCCAAAGGGAGCTCCGTCTAAGCTTCAGGGGCGACGTTCGCGCGCGCCGCGCAATTTCGGCACACCACTCGCGCGCTTCGTAGTAGCCTCATGGGGAGCTCCACCGAATGTCTCGGTGTCGACGTTCGCGCCGGGGCCCCGCCAATATCGGCGCACCCGTCGCAAGCCCCAGTGGCGATGCTCGCATGTGGTTCCCCGCCCACTTCGGCGCACTCCTCGCGCGTTTCGTGGCCCCGTTGGGAGCTCCACCTGTTGCCCCAGCGACGATGTTCGCACGCGGCCCCCCGCCCATTTCGCCCCTCTCCGCACGCGCTCCGTGGCACCATCGGGACCTTCACCTCAGGCAATCGGGGCGCGGTCCGCGCGCGGGGACCCCCGCCCATTTCGACACGCCCCTCGCACGTTCCGTGGCCCCGTACACTCTAGGCGATGCTTAAGAAAACTTGAATTTTCGGCCAGAGTCTCGATGATTCTTAACTTTCCAGTGTAAATCCCAAGATTTTGATAGAAGTTCTGGGTTTTATTCAATTTCTGAGACTATGAATTTCTGAACCCATGATGTCTAAAGCATTTCGCAGGGTGTAGGAAGCTCCACCTGAGGCCCCGCTGGCGACGTTCGCGCGCAGACCCCCGCCCAGTTCGGCGCACCGCGCCCTTTGTCGTTCGGTGACTGCATCGTTTGAGAGAGAGCTTCTGCGGCACTCACCTCATCCTAACCCCTCGGCGCGCGAGAGAACGAGTCCTCCACCGCGCTCCTGCAGGACCCCATTCCGGGGAGCTGCCGGGCGTGTCCCGCTCTGAGGCTCTCGCTGGAGGCGTCCTCGCAAAATCGGCCCCCGAGGAAGGCCCTGGAGGGAGGACGTCCACCGCGCCCCCAGGGACCATTTCTAGGGATCTGCTGGGCGTGTCCCGCTCTGAGGCTCTCGCTGAAGGCGTCCTCGCAAAATCGGCCCCCCAGGGAAGGCCCTGGAGGGAGGACGTCCACCGCGCCCCCAGGGACCATTTCCGGGGAGCTGCCGGGCGTGTGTCCCGCTCCGGGGCTCTCGCTGGAGAGGCCTTCGCAACATCGCCCCCCAGGGAAGGCCCTGGAGGGAGCCCACCGCGCCCCCAGGGGCCCTTCCCGGGCTGGGTAGCCGAAGGCCAGACTGTCAGACTGGATTGGGCCCCAAGGGCCAATCTGGCCTGGCCATATTGGGTGATTTGGGTTATTCGCCAGACTGGATTCGCGTTGGCTCCCTCGCCAGATTGCCCCCGTTTGCCAGATTGGGCCTGCCAGATTGGCGCCAGATTGGCTTCGACTACCCAGCCGGGATCTGCCGGGCGTGTCCTGCTCTGGGGCTCTCGCTGCAAAGATCTTCGCAACATCGCCCCCCAATGAAGGCCCTGGGGGGAGTCCACCGCGCCCCCGTACTGCGATCCGTTTGGTTTGCCGTCGTACTCGTCGTAGTCGTCGTACTCGTGCTGGTTTGGTTTGCTGTCGTACTCGTCGTAGTCGTCGTACTGCCACCGTCCAGGGACCATTTGGTTTGCTGTCGTACTCGTCGTAGTCGTCGTACGCGGTCCCACTCTGCTGATCATCTCTGTGCTGCTCTGCTGAGTTGCGTATGGGGCTTCCGTTCCGAAGTTGGGTCTGGGATGTCCTGGGACAGTGCCCAAACGACGATCTTTGACCCAGATGAAGCTGTCGCATTTTGTTTTGCACCTGAAGCCATTGAAAACCCGCTTCCAGAACTCGTCGTCGCCGTCGTCGCCGGCGTCGCCGTCATCCCGCCACAGACGCCGTCATCCCGCCACAGAAATCGCTGCAGTCAGCGTCGCCGTTGCCGTCGTCGTCGCCGACGACCTCACCATCGTCATTATCGTCGCCGTCGCCGCCGCCGGCGGCGCACGTCGTCGTCGCCGCCGTGGTCGTCATCATCGTCGTCGTGATAGCTGTCGTCGTTGCAGGCTGCGACTCGCAGCTGTCGGCGCTATCGCCATCAACGTCACTGTCGTCGTCGCCGCGCCGACGTCGCCGCCGTGGGCATCGTCGTTCGCCGCTGCTGTCGTCGCCGTCGTCGCCGTCGCCACCTCTTCTGTCGTCGCCTCCGTCGCCGTCGTCGCCGCCATCGCCGTGCGCTGTGGCATTGCCGCCGTCGTCGCTGATGTTTCGTCGGCGTCCTCGTAAATGAAGTGGAGGTCGCCGTCGTCGCTTCCTCAGTCGCCGTCGTTGCCAGCGTCGCCCACGTCGTGGGCCCTCACCCCTCATGGAAGTCCTCCTGGAAGCACCCTGGGCTGTCTGCGGTACCTCTTGAGCCGTTGTGGAGCCATCTTGTGCAATCTTGGGCGCGCGCGACGTCACTGCGCGGCTCGCGAGATCTGGGCCCAACATGCTCGCATCTTCTGGCAGTAGCATGAAGCAGCACGCTTCTTTCGGGATGCAGGCACCTCTGTTGCTTGTTCTCGCTGCCGTTGGCCAATGCCCCAGTTTGGGGGTGGTGGCCACGAGCGTGTGGCACCTCTGTTGCTTGTTCTCGCTGCCGTTGGCCACTGCCCCAGATTGGGGGTGGTGGCCACGAGCGTGTGGTCGCGAGGACTTCAAGACCTCTAGAGTGCCCGCTGGCCCCTTTATTATTGGGTAACAATGAACAACCTACACAAACTGTAGACAAATGCGCACGGGCCCTTCCAGGGAACCCGCCTCAATCTTGGAAAAATGGACGCTTGAAGCTGGATGCACGCGACATTCCTGGTCTGGCGGCCTGGGCGAGGGCTGGATATTTAGGTGGCCGCATGTTTTTTTTTCCAACGCTCGGCCCATGACCCAAAATGAACGGCCAATCTGGCTCTCCGCGCGTGAATCCAAGCAGTGACGTCCGGAGAGCGTGCATCCAGGCAGTAACATCTCGGTCTGTCCGCAGGCGGGAACTGGCGGCAACTCGGCGGAACGCGCAGGAAGCTGACGTGTCGGAAACAGGTTCGGCGGAAGCGGCGGGAGTGAATGCGAAGTTTGCCATGCGGACTCGGCCAAACAGTCTCAGCAGACATTGTGGCCCAGAGTGGCCCAATAACCATTCATTGTTTTCCTTGGCACCCAGCACAGGACAGGACGACAGTCTGAAAAGTCTTTTGTAAGATGGTCGTTGCCGAGCGCCGACGGCCCACAGATGAGGTCCATACGGTACCTGTCTCAAGCATCGGCGAAATTCGTGCAGAGTCGGCTCCGTGTCTCAACGGCCTTGTCACATTACGCCAGTGACGTTCACAAGGCTATGACGAGCTCTGGGTCAGCCAATATAGTTTGGGTGGCATTGCTGCGTTTGGATCCCAGCAGAGCGGCTCAGTATCACGACGCAGTTGGAATGGACAGTGTGTGGTTTGAAATAGAGGGTCCCAGTTGGCAGCGCGCTCATTGGCAGGTGTTGGCTGCCACGCCTTTCGATACTGGAGTGGTGGCGATTCCAGAATCGGACCTGCATGTTCTGCAGTGGGCTTGGTACAAGCCGAGTGGTGTGACTGTACAGAGGTGCAGAGAGCGTCTGGACGATGCCGTGTGGCAGCGTGGCCTCTTTGAAGGCACACCAGATCCCGCCGATCTGACTGTTTGCAGTTTGTTCGTTGTTTTGGCTCACATGGTGGCACATGGGTTGACTGATCATATTTATTTCAGCTTGGGCCGCCGCTCAGACCATCAACTTGCGCCTCTTAGGCCTCTGCGCCAGCTTCGAGATAGCATCGTCCGCCCAAAAGGTGGCCACGAGCGAATCTTCAGTTCAAACATTTCGCATGCCCCTCGCAGCTGCACTGGAGAATGTGGCAAGAGGTGATCTCACGGATGACCCAGAGGAGCGCCAGGAATTGTGGGATGAATTCGATCGTTTCCGCCAGTGGGCATTTCGTTGTTCGCACGTACTCTCTCACCAAAGCTTGCTAGCACACAGGGTTGAAAAAAGGGCGGCGGATTGCCGCGCTATGGCGATCTCGAACTGGGACTCAAGCTAGAACGGAAGGCACCCAAGGACGATTCACCAGTTGGTTTGTCTTGCGCTCTGTCCTCTTACGCAGCCGCATCGTGCACGATGGGGATTTGAACAAGGTCTTTCCCCCGTGAGCTATCCAAGGCACTCGAGGACCTGTTGGTGGATATGCCCGTTCCAGGCGCGGCGCAGCTGCCGACATGGAGGGTCATGGTGGGCGCGGCGCATCTGTTCAAACAACGGCGAGTGCATCTCCCACTCATGGAATGCGATTGCGTTGTCTTCATGCTTTCAGACAGCTCGCCACAAGGCACCAGCAACAAAGGACACACGCAAAGAGATGGAGTTATCGTGCTCTCTCCCCCCCGCCCTCCCCAGGAGCCCACGTAGAACGTGGAAGGGACAACAGGCGGTTGGTGGAGGATTCGGGAACTTTGCCTCGTCGCGCATGCTTCTTGCGTCCTGGCAAGGGGGGGCGTGATTGGCTGATGGCAGAATCGCATATTTGGAACTGGGACATGGCGGGACTGCACGCCTCTACGTGCGAGTTTATCGACGCGCTCAGCTGTTTCAAACAAGAATCGGACAGCGAGATCGTCGCCGACGCCATGGCCGAGTGCTTGAGTGAGCTGATGGATATCATAGAATCTTCGCGGCTGACGGGGAGGTCTCCTCCTGCAGCATTTGGGTATCGAAATACCAGCGCTACTCAATAGGCTGCAGCCTTGGCGCGTCAATTTATTTTTGCTGAGCGGTTCTGACATGCAAATGTGGACTCGTCACAGTACGAGTTTCACCGCAGACTTTGGCGTCGAAACTGGGCTCGGGAAGCAGCGGCATCGCGTGGGCGTGCTCTGCCCTCGCGCCGTCGCCCTCCAGTTCGAGGCCGACGGCGCTGGCGACGGAATGGAAGTTCACGTGATCGACGGCGAAGGCCAAGCGACGATTCCAGAGATCGACCCGCTGACCTTTGACCTGATTTTCACGTTGCAAGTTCCTGGGGGCCTCCACATACTCCGCAATGCATCCACGGATGTTGCTAACGGCATGACGAATTCCGAAAGCACGAAGCCAGGCATACAAGCTCTCGCGAATTTCCTGAAGGAGCAGCATCTCAGAGAAGCACGTGCTGCCACGTGCTTCAATTTGCCAGACTCGAAAATGTTCGCTTTTTTCCGTTCAAGACCTTCGGAGAGAAACTTCTGCATGGGAATGGATGAGCGTTTCAGACTTCCTTGAGGCGATTGAGCCTCTAGAGCGCTGCCGTCGACGATTCTGGAACACGAGGCGCTTTCTCCAACGCCCGGTGCGCGGCGTCGCGCGCGCAGACGACGGCGCCGAGAAAGATGGCGAGTCCTTCGGGCTCAGGGCGCGCAGCTTGGCACGCGCTGTAGCAATGAGGAGCTATGGAGGTGCATGGCCATGCTCCGATTGCCGATGGCGGCTCTGGACCACTTGAACTATTGGGCGCGGGGGTGTCCTTGCCACGTTACTCCAGAGTCCGTTGGAAGTGACGCGTGTCGGTCGGTGCCCGATATTTGCGCCAGAGCTGACTGCCCTCTGCGCGGCCGCCGAGCCCGTGAACATGCGCAAGGTTGTCTGTCCACCTTCTTGCAGGAGTGCCAGGACACTTTCGGAACGCACTCGCTTGAAATAACAGGCCACTTGAAATCAGCTGATGCTCGCGGACGAATTCAAAACGACTTCGCAGAGGGCGCCAGGCATTTGAATTTGACGATTGCGTTGGAATTTGGCTTCTGAACGCCCTTGCCCCACGCGCTGTGCGGAGCTGCCCATTGGAGGGGGAGCGTTGCCAGGGATGCTGCCATCGCTTGTTCGGGTTTGCATGATGGCGCTGTTGCCGACGAGGAGACGCATTGCCAGACTCGCAAATTCTTGAGACATGGGTCTCGTTTGCGGAACTTGCTGGAGCTATTTGCCGCTCGCCTTCCTCTGGGCGATCATCAATTATTGGATATTCGGGCGCAGTTGTGTGGCTTGGCTTTGATTCCCATCGTAGAGCGGAGCGTCGAGGGACTCCTATGCGCTGGTTCAGAAAGCCACGGTTAAAGCTCACCATCATAGTGGAGCCTACATCAGCCAGACGTTGAGGATCACAGAGATATTCAACATTCTTGAAGTTCAGCCAGAACAGACGATGAGTCTTATCAACATTCTCGGCACGTGCAGATCGCCTCACTGGATTGCCACGCATGTAGGACTGCGTCGCCACGCTGACATCGAGGAGTACGCGATGGGAGAGGTGCCACATCCTCTGCTTGATCGTTTCGTTTACAGGCTTGACTTCACATCGCAATTCGCCGACCTGCGTCCGGCGAGCCTGGCAGGGGGGCCCAAGCCCGCGCCGCTGGGCAGGCCGCTGGAGTCCGAGTCGATTGTCTTACAGGCTTCATGGAGGAATATGTGCCGAGGTCAATGCCCCACCGCCAATTCGCCTGTCCTGGTCCTCCTGGAGGCCTTCGCTGCCACGGCTGAATTCGCTTTCGAATTCTGGCATGAACGCAACCCAGGATGAGTCCACCACGGAGTAGCTATATCGTCTATCCTTCCTGGGACTCCTGGAAGCCCATCGTTGCCGCGGCTGGATTCGCCTTGGACTTCTGGCCAGAACGCGACCCGGGCCAGGTCCAGGGGGTAGCGGCGTCAGTGCCTGATCGTTCCACCGCAGGCCGCTGCTCTGGAGCGCCTCCGAGCTACACTTGATCGACGGGAGTGGCTACTTGCAGCGATGCCAGTTGACCATGCAGGCAAAACCCAGTTCGGGCGGTTGTCTGAGGCCCTAGGCCAACAGCGCGCTACATTGTTCGCGGGTGGACAGATCTTGGATTTCGAGCAGGAGTATGTTGAGTGCAAGGCACGGGCATCCGATGCCCGGCAAATCATCGTGCGTTTCGGAGGCGGATGACCGAAGATTGGTGACGTTCCTGTTGGGTAGTTCTGTTCAAAGCGCAGCATTTTTATCATTCGCTTCTTAAGTGGGCGCGGGGCGACGCGGCTGCTCACTTGGGGCTCTCCGATATCGCAGTGACGTTGTGCGATATCACGGCTTGGGATTGGGGCGACTTCTTTGCGATGGCGAATGGTAGACCATGCAGCAGCACAGCTGGCGACCTGACAGGCGCGTTCGCGACCGTGAACGAGAGTTTGAAGCTGCCGTCTGGAATCTCGCAAAGGAGGAACCCTCTTACATGCTCCCATTAGTGCGCGAGGATTCCCGCGATCACGTTGAGCAAGTTATGGACGAGATGTCGAAGAACAAAGCTTGCTCCAACTCTGGCCAATACTATTTGCTCAAGCGGGGCGCCGGGTATCACGAGCGATACGAGAGGTCTTTTCAAGAATGGCATTCGCTTGGGTACGTCGCGCGACAGGAGGTAGGTGGCGAAGGCGACGCACGATGGCAACTGACGGCCGTTGGGATGTCCGTCATGCAGGTGCAGATCCGCTTATCAGGCCAGGCAAACGTTCTCACACATCGAATGTGAGAGGACAGGGCGCAATAGACACACCGGGCACTGATAATGGATACATTACTGAGTCAATCGTGGATGGATTGCCCTTCCCTGGCACAAAGGTGCGAAAGCCCCCTCCACCCCTGAGCGTTGCTTTGCCTTCCGATGACGAGATCAAACATGATGCGACCCCAATAATTGGAAACCCTCTGAAGTAATGAATTCAGCCAGACAGGAATTGATTTGCATTGCCTGGTACTGCTGGGCCTTAATTGGCCGTGCTAGGCATTGCTTATCAAGGCTTTGCATTGCTTGGCATTGCTTGGCATTGCTAGGCGTTGTGTGGCATTGCGATGCGTTTTGAATATTGTTGGGTATTACTTGAAAATTCGTCCCATTGGTTCGCGTTGCTTGACATAGCTTGGCATAGCTTGGCATTGAGCTGCATGGCTTGGTGTTGCTTGGCATTGCGTGATCTTGATTCGCATCACTTGGCGCTGATTGGCGCTTCTCGGCGTTGCTTGGCATTGCGTGGTAAGGCAACGCTGACTAGACCAAGTAACCAATCAACAAAGACCAAGGAACCAAAAAGCTAAGGAGCCAACTAGCCAAGACCCTGGAACCGAGGACCAAGGAACCAAACAATCAAGACCAAGGAACCAATCAACCAAGCGCAAGGAGCCAAGGAGCCAAGGAACCAAGGAGCCACGACCAACGAACCGAGAACCAAGGAACCAAACAACCAAGACCAAGGAACCAAACAACCAAACTCAAGGAGCCAAGGTACCAAGGAACCAAAGAACCGAGGAGCCACGGAACCAAGGAACCCAAGAACCTAGAGGAGCCGAGGAACCCAAGGCTAAGGTAACCCCCGGGGAAGGTTGGCCGGCGCAGGGCGCGCAAACACACTGGCCCCACGAAAAAACATGTAATAATTCTTCGGGCGAGGTTTATTTCGGCAATCTTGGTTTTTAGCTTCGAGAAGAAAAGCGGCATAAACATAATCTTTTGGCGCACCGCGCGAATTTCTTGGATCCGCGTTGGGCTTCCCCGGCCGTGCTTCTGGGGCCGCCCCTGGCGCCCTTCGCGCGCCAGGGAGGGGGGCCCAGCGCAGATCCAAGAAATCCGCGCGGAGCGCCACAAGTTTTCGTTCAAGCCGTTGTGTCTTTTTCTATTAGTTGTTGTCGGGATTCCTCCATTTCCGGTTCCGTATGGTTCCAGGAGTGTCGAGGAGGAGCTAAACCATGCCTCAAAGAGCCCCGGCGGTGCCCCTAGAGCGTTTCAAGAGGAGCAACTGCCCCATGGAGAGGGAGCCCCTAGAAGGCCCAAGCCAGGCGGCCTCAAGCTGCCCCAAGACTGCCCCACAGTAGCCCAAGAGAGCCCGAGCTCGCCCCAAGAGGGCCCCGAGCTCAAGAGGGCCCAAGATCGCCCCACGGCGGCCCCCGAGTGCCACACGGGGGATCCATCAAGGAGATCCCGGTGCGGCCCAGGACAGCACGAGGGGGCCCACGACGGCCCCAGGGTGCCCGATGGAGGCCGCGCGGGAGTCGCAAAGTAGCCCCAGTACCCGAGATGGCACTGAGAGGCGCCGAGATTGCCGCAAGACAGTCGACGCGCATAGTAAGGGCGCGCGCCTTTTCCAGGGTACCCCTGTGTCCTTGCCGCTGCGGCCCGTCCTTTGCCGTTTCCCCTGGCCAGCCTCCCAGGCCGCCGCCCAACAAATCCCAACCTCGGCCTCCAAGGGTCTCGCGTCCTTACCACCCGTCCTTGCTATACGTTTTCACTGTAGGCCTTAGACAGGCCTCTGGGAAACTTTCAAGACGCTCCTGTGGAGCCTTCCAGGAGACATCCGCCAGCCAACAACATCTTGCCTTGCTCAGTTGCTCGATCTTCTCGCTAGGTCTTGCATTGTTCCCCCTCCGTCATTCTCCGTCCTGGCGCGAAGCATGCTTCCAAGGTCTCCTGTCGGATAGCTCCCAGTATTCAGGGGTCGGCGGATCGGAAAACTCGGGGTGGGGGGCGAGGGGACAATCCCATGGACTCGCAACGTAAGCGATCAGTGGCGTAAGAGATCCGCTCTACAGTCGGGAGGCTGAAGAAGGAGCCCTTTTCGTTCGGGAGTGGCTCGGTGTTCCTTGATTGTGTCAAAGTTTGCCTCGGGTTATCCTCAGGTCTTCCATGGGAAATCGAGGTTGAACTTATTGGGAAGAAGGGGCCTCGTTCCTTATTTAGGGTTCCTTGGGTCAACGCCTCGATTCTAGCACATGCCCACGTTCGGCCCCTGCGGAACTGGCGGCGCGATAAAGGGCGCCGCCCATGGAGGCAGAGCTGCCGGGTTTTTTCGGCCCTCGCCAGCTGGCCATGTGGATGCAAGCCGACGAGGCCTTGCGCGCTTGCTGGCCTGCGTTTCGCAGATTGGCAGCAGACAATCCATTGATTTGGCGCCGGCGCAGCTGCGGCGCAGCTGCGGCGCAGCTGCTGCAGAGGCGTTAGTCAAGGCATGGCCAGACTTTTCAAAGGTAGGCGTTCAAAGCAAACGCCAGCGACAAGACTTTCTATGTATTCGCTTATATCATGAACTGCTCTTTACGGGGATCTGCCCCCCCCTGCCGTCCGAGGCGTCATATTTGTCGTTCGTTCCTGCTGGCCCGTCCTCGCCATCCTCCTCTCTTTTACTCGTACGACGGCAGCGTCGGGGTCGTCGTCCGACGTCGTCCTCATCGTCCTCGTCCTCCTACTCGTCCGTTCGGCGGCGAGCCTGGGGGTGAAGTGAGAAGGGGCGGGCCTTGTCAGAAGGCTCGGACGCCCCCCTGCCTTTGAGAAGCTTGCGAAGCCTTCCCCGACGACGCAGAACGCTTCGCAGAAGGCCCGAGGGCTTCTGAGAAGTCCCGCCGCCTTCTGAGAGGGCCTTCTCCTTCTCGCTCCCCCCCCTCGCCCGCCGCCAAGTATTGGTCAGCATCGGCCCCTGGACCCCTCCCGGGTCCATCCGACGCGGTTCTCCTCCTCCTCCTCCTCCTCCTCCTCCTCCTCCTCTTCCTCCTCCTCCTCCACCCCAGGCCGAGTTTCGGGGGCCCCGTGGCCCGAAGGACGGCCCCCCGAGGCCGAGAGCACCAAAGAAAACACCGCCTCGGGCCCCGGACTTCCCCCCGCATGGATGGCGGCCCCTGCTCGGGAGGCAGGGCAGGCCTGTACCTGCCTGGAGCGTCGGGCGCGCCTCGGCGGCTGGCCCGACGGCGCCCTCACGCGGCCTGGCGCCCGCCCAGAGTCACCACTCACCGAACCACCCCAACCCAACCCGAAGGCCTCCAATCTGCCCTCCATTTCCAGATTCGGGCCTTCGGGTTGGGTTGGGGTGGTCTGGTAGGTAGTCACAAAGGGGGGCCGCCGCCGCCCGCGCGAAGCCAGACGGCATGCGTCGACGCGGCACCTCCTCATCTTCCTCCTCCTCCTCTTCCTCCTCCCCTCCCCTTCCTCCTCTCCCTCCTCTTCCTCCTCCCCCTCCCCCTCCTCCTCCCCTCCTCCTCTTCCTCCCCCTCCTCTTCCTCCTCCCCCTCCGGCCTTCTCCCCCTTCCCCTCCTCCTCCTCCTCCTCCTCCTCCTCCTCTTCCTCCTCCTCCACCCCCTCCTCTTCCTCCTCTTCCTCCTGCCCCTCTTCCTCCCCCTCCTCTTCCTTCTCCCGCTCCTCCTCCCCCTCGTCCTCACCCTCCCCCTCCTCCTCCCCCACCTCCTTCTCTTCCTTTCTCTTCCAGAGCTGCTCTCTGCCAGGGCTCCTCCTCCTTCCCACTCGTGCCCTCCTCCTCCTTCTTCAGTTTGCTCGAAGCCTGTTTCATCTGGCTGCATGCGGCATGTCCCGCCACGGGGCAAGCCCAGCATTCTGGGTGGCGACCGTTCAAGGGGGTGCGGGAGGCCGTCGTGATTGACACCTCGTGTCTGCCGGTTCTGGGGAGTTGGGGATGAGGATAATGGGGACGATAGGGACGATGACGACGACGACGACGACGACGACGACGACGACGACGACGACGACGACGACGACGACGACGACGATGATGATGATGATGATGATGATGATGATGATGATGATGATGATGATAATGATGAGGAGGATGAGGATGACGATGATAATGATGACGATGTCGATGAAGATGGTGATGATGATGATGATGTTGATGCTGATGCTGATGATGATGCTAATGCGGACGAGGATGAGGATGAGGATGAGGATGAGGATGATAATGTGGATGCCGACCTGCATGCGGATGAGGATGACGATGACGATGACGATTATGATGCTGATGATGCTGATGCTCATGATGATGACGACGATGATGATGATGAGGCCGATGCTGCTGATGATGATAATGGTAATGGCGATTACCATCACGATGACGCTGATTGTAATGATGATGATGATAAATGATGATGCTTGCCATGATAATGATGACGATGACCACTATGATGATGCTGCTGATGATGATGATGCAAATGATGATGCTGCTGATGATGATGATGATGGTGCGGCTGATGCTGATGATATTGATGCTGATGATGATGTTGCTGACGATGTTGATGATGGAGGGTGATCCTGATGTTGATGCTGTTGATGATGACGCTGATGATGCTGATGCTGATGACGATGGTGGTGGTGGTTGTAATGCTGACGATGCTGATCATGATGGTGATGGTGATGGTAATGGTAGTGGCGATGGTGATGATGATGGTGGTGATGATGATGGTGATGGTGATGGTGATGGTGATGGTGATCATTATGATGCTGATGTTGATGCTGATGCTGATGCTGATGTTGTGCTGATGATGGTGCTGCTGATGATGATTGTGATGACGACGATGGCGATGACCATGATTCTGCCGATGATGGAGAGGTGATGCTGATACCGATGATGCTGATGGTGACGATGACGATGGCGATGCCGATGGCGAGGACGATAGCCTTGATGAGTCCGAGTATGACGATGCTGCTGATGGTGATGATGATGGTGACGATGATGATGATGATGATGATGATGATGATGATGATGATGATGATGATGATGATGCTGATGCTGATGCTGATGCTGATGCTGATGCTGATGATGCTGATGATGCTAATGCTGATGCTGATGCTGATGCTGATGCTGGTGCTGATGAGAGATGGTGATGTATATGGTGGTGGTGGCGGTGGTTGTGGTTATAATGATGGCGAGGGGGCGGAGGAGGAGGAGGAAGAGGAGCAGGAGGAGGAGGAGGAGGAGGAGAGGCTGCAGCAGGAGGAAGAGGAAGGCAGTCTCATGCGACACCTTTCGTCTTCACTTTCCAGCTGCCTGCGGCAAACCCCGCCACCGTGCTTGTGCAACATCGCTGCAGGAAAGGGACTGAGTCTAGGGACAGCGCAATTTTTACAAGTGGTCTGATAAGGACGGGTCGTGAACTCGACCTCGTCTTCGCCCCCCGGTAGGGAGGAGGTCAAGTTCACAACCCCGCGGCAGTTCAGCGAATGATATGAACTGGGGAGGGTCGTGATCCAGACATCTTCTTCGTCCGCGTCCGCGCGTTAGGGGGGAGGAGGAGGAGGAGGAGGAGGAGGAGGAGGAGGAGGAGGAGGAAGAGGACCAGTGTAAACTCAAGACTCGTCAACGATGTTGCTACAACCCCTCCCTCCAAGCTTTCTCTTCATAGGCCCCTACGTAGAGGGATTCGTTTCAATTGAGGGGAGTGCCCCGTTGGGAGACAGCCGCTTGAGAATTCTGAACAGTTCCAGAACACCATTCTTGAAATTTCAACGCCACGTATCAACCTGATCTTTGCATTTTGACGATCCTGAATCCTACCAGAACACGATTCCTGAGACTTCAACACCGCGAATCAACGTAATTGTTGCGCCCTGACAATCCGACATCGCTCCAGAACGCTGTTTCTGGTACGTTAACCATGGGCACCCGTGAAATTCCTGCACATGCTTAAAGCGAGTGTACGTGGCGCTAAGGTGGGGGCCACATTTAAATGATCCAGCCTCCATCGGCGAAGCCCTTACGATTTTTCAAGACGAGTGTGCGCGGCGCGAAGGCGAGAGCCACATATTGAAAATGACCTGTCCTCAATCCGTGACGCCCTTGCAACAGTGTAAGACGAATGTGCGCGGCGCTGAGGCGAGAGCCACATTTCCAAAGCGCCCCATCCTCAAGCCGTCAAGCTCTTGACATTGTTTTGAGTCGAAGGTGCGCGGCGCTGTGGCGAGAGCCACTGTTTGGAATCGACTCGCCCTCCATCTGTGAAACTGTTACCAATTTTGAGGCTTCAGGGTTACAAGTAATAGGGAGGTCTCATGCGAAACGCCTGTCCCGCCGTTTCGACAGGCCTCCGGGTGTGACAGAGAGGTCCTTTCGAAGGAAAAGTAATGGAGGAGGAGAGGGGGAAAATACGGACGAGGAGGGGGAAGCTTCTTGCGGCCCTCTCGGGCCCTCCTGGGGGCTCCTGGAAGCTTCCTGGCCTCTGGGGGGCCTCTTGGGGGCCTCCTGGGGCCTCTTGGGGGCCTCGTGGGGCGCCTTGGGCCGTCGCATGAGGCGATTTGCACATCTGGCGCCCTAAGGGGCCGTCTTGGGGGCCTCTTTTTGCCGTCTGGTGCCGTCTTGGAGCTCTTTAGGACAGTCTTGGGCCGTCTTGGGCGGTCGAAAGTCCAAACAGGCCAGAACCTCAGAGTCCTTCAAACGCCTACGGTGGTGTTGATTTCTAGGGCTCTCTTGGAGGGGCTCTTAGGTCCTCGTGAGCATTCTTGGGAGCCTCTTGATCTTTCTTGAGTCCGTCTTGGGAGCCTCTTGAGCCGTCTTGGTGTCACCTTGACTACCTTGGAAGCCGTCTCGGAGGCCATCGTCTCAAGACCCCCTCCGCGAGGAGGGGAAGGGGGCGGCTCTGGGCGGCCCTGAAAGGCATTTCAAACCCTCCAAGACAACAGCAAACATACTAACATGCCTAGTCCGTGCAAGCACGGTGGCGGATTTGAGGAGTTCTCATGGACTTCGTGTTGGCCGTCTTGGGGCTATCTTGGTCTCCTGTGAGGTAGTCTTGTGGCTCTCTTGGGCCGTCTTAGGGTTACGCCGTCTTGGCTCTCTATTCGGCCGCTTTGGGGCCGTCTTGGGCCGTCGATGGGCTTTCTTCTAAGGCCGTCTTGGGTCCCAGAAGTGAATGAGGGTTCAGGCATGAGCTGCCATGCGGGAAGTGAGACATCCTCGGGCGGGCACGCGTGGCACGTTGGTTTAGGCAGTAGCTGCCATGCGGGAAGTGCATCATCTTCGAGCGGGCGCGAGGGAAGTGGCCTCGGGGAATGGACGACGCATGCGGCTGTCTGCGAGCAGAGGGAGAGGCGGGGCCTTAGAAGAGCTACAGAAGTCCCTACCTGACAGCCCTTGGCATTCCTCCAGGCCTCGACGTGCCAGGGGGCACGGTGGCGGATCACACATTCCAGTGGGACGACGCACGCGGCCTCCTGCTTTGCCGGGGCCCGGTTCGAGAGGGCGGCCGTCGGCCCGACTTCCCTATCGCTACGAGCGGCACGTGCATTTGCCAGTCGGTCTCCTCTCCGGCGCCACGACGAGGGGAGAGGTGCGAGGGGGCAGGCCTTCTTAGGAAGGCGATGTGGCTTCGGGGAAGGCCGGGAAAGCTTCTCAGAAGGGCTTGGTGCTGTCTGCACCTTCGGAGAAGGCCCGCCCCCTCCAGGGCTCGTTTCGACTCCCCCGATTCGATTCGATGTCGATGGCTTCCGATTCCGATTCGATTCGCCTTCGGATTCTGATTTGGGAATGTGGCGCTCGGAAGGGTCTTGTGTCCTGTCACATGTCCTCTCCGACCAGCCCCGACTGGCCCCGATTGCAATTTTTCTGTAACCTATAGCGCCAGCACGGAGGCCTGTGGCGCTGTGGCCAGAGGCGCCTCCAAGAGAGAAGAAGGGGGAGTGGTAGGGGCAGGCTGTCTTATGTAGGTGCGTGTTATCACAGTCGATGATATTCTGGGGAGCTCTGGGAGGTCCCCCTCTCATCCTCCTTCCCCTTTCCCGCTGTTTCCTCCCTCCTGCCCCAATCGCTTGTCCTACGGACGGGGGGGGGGGCACCACAGGGGCTGTGATGCGGGAAGGAGTCAGCTCCACCTGCGGCCAGCATAGCTCCTGCTGACCAACACTGTTTGGCCCCCTCCTCCTCCTCCTCCTCCTCCTCCTCCTCCTCCTCCTCCCACTCCTCCTCCCCCTCCTCCTCCCCCTCTGATCGCGTCTGCCAGTCACGATTCCAGGGGGCAAAGAGAGCGGGCCAGGCCGCTCGAAGGAGTTCGGAAAGCGGCCTTGACTCGCCTCGAGAAAGCGGTCGCTTCTTCCGTCCATCGTCCTGGTCTCGTTTTCGAGGGGTCTCGGATTTCGTGTGCAGTGTGTCGCCAGAAGCTGGCTCGGAGCGGAGCTATCGAGTGGCTCGCGACCCCTTGCACCCCGATCGACCCTCGTGCTACCCCCTCTGCCTCATCCATTGGCCCCATTCGCATCGGTAACCAAGAGGTGAACAGCTCACACACGTGCCAGTTTTTTGAGCACGCTGACGGATGGGCATGCACCAGCTGTGGGGCCATCGGAATGGACAGAGCTATCCAAGGCCTCGCCCAGGAATGCTCGCATCAGATTTCCTCCAAAGGGGAGGATAACTTGCGCAAGCTCCGCCGAGGCCTCCTCCCAGGTGCCTCCGCTCGCGCCAAGGCCTTCAACAGGAAGGCGCGCGAGGGGCATGGAGGGGTAGCTCACCTTCCTCCTCCTCCGCCTCCCCCCCCTCTCTGAGCTCATTGGAGCGCTCGGTGCAAAAAATCCTCCCCCGGAGTAGCCCCACCGGGCCGCAGAGACCCCATCACCGCCACATGAAAGGTCCGGGCGACCCCACAACCGCCCAGACGCCATCAGGATCGCTCTACGGAGCCTGTTCGAGAGAGTTCGGAAGAGCCATCGCGCCCAAGACTGCCCCATTAGTTCCCCGAGGGCATTCGCCAGGCCCCCCAAGGACGGCTCCCAGACCGTGGCGGCTGGGACTGCCACACGCGCCGGGGAGGAAAGACTAATTAGGGCCCCGGGTGCAGGGCGGGAGGGAGGGAGGATCGAAGAAAGCAGAAGACAGACGGGAGACACGGGAGCAAGAAGGAGTTGAGGAGAGGCAATGAGAGCGGCATCGTTATATTCTCATCATTTTGTTCCTCCTCCTCCTCTCTTCCCCATCCGTTTCCCCTTTTCCTCCTTCTCTTCTGCGGCGCTCGAAGAGCCCCCGCGCTGCCCGATGCTCGGGGCGACTGGGGTTTCTTCGCGTGGCCTCCGTGGGGACGCTGAGGGGGGGCAGCTTCAGCTCACTGCTCGTGGGGCTGGCATTGATCATGATACACGTCTTGTTCACAGTCTTCATTCCGATGTTGCAGACTGTTTCTGGACAAAGGCCACAGCTTGCCATAACCCAAGCGCGTGCGAAGCGTGCGCGTGGTCTTAGCCCCATTGGATTGGGGACCGCTCGGAATTGCGTTCGGAAGAAGACAGGCATCCCCCGTTCCTTGGGTTACCAGCGAGCGCATTCTTTCTGGGCGCGAAGAAGGCCTTCGGCGATTCGTCCGTGCTGTTGCCATGGAGCTCCAAGGGCTGCCCACCCGTGTGCCCAGAGCCGACGCTCAGACACGCGACTTTGCTCGACGCGATTTCTGCTCGCATAGGGCTCTTCTTTCGAAGAAGCATAACGGCACAAACATAACTCGGTGCTGCCCCCCCCCCGCTCCGTTCCGTCAGTGGCGCGCGAAGCGTGCGCGAGGGGCCGCGCCAGAGGCGCCGCCGGGGGAGGCCTAGCGCGGGTCCCAGAAGTCCACGCGGAGCTCGGACAATTTCAGTTTCCAGCTCAGGTCTGCCAGTTCTCATCATCGTCGAAGCGTCGCCCAGGTCGATCATCTCCAACTCCTTCTCCGTCAGCCATTCTGCCGCGTCGTAGGTGGCATGGCGTACCTCCGCCGCTCTTCGAGGCTCTGGTCGTCCTCTTCGTCCATCCTCCTTGTCTCTCCTCGTCCATCCTCGTCCGTCCTCCTCGTCCTTCCTACGGCACTGGTGGCATCGGAGTCCAGCCAAGGATGTTGCCATATGTTGCCATATTACTCCCTCCGCTTCCCTTTTTTCTCCTCCCCCCCCTCCTCCTCCTCATCCTTGCTTCCTCTCCCCCTTCCCCCCACCCCACCCGCTTCCTCCTCCCCCCTCCGCTTCCTCTTCCCCTCCTCCCTGCTTCCTCCCCCTCTCCCCCCCTTCTCCCTCCCTTCTCCCTGCCTCGCTTTCCCCCCACCCCCCACCCCCCACCCTTTCCTCCTGCAAACCCAGGGGCGGTCTCCAGCTTTCTTTTCCCACTCCGCGGAGTGCAGCGCTGTTCGTGGGCCTTCTGCGGACCTGTGTGCTTTTCCGGCACGTCGGTGCGACGCGACGAACCGTGACGCGGGTGCCACCACGAGCTCTTCCACGGCGGTGGCTCTATGCTGGACTCAAGCTCACAGCCGCCGTCGCAGCGCGCCTCGTGGGCGAATATCATATCCATATCCGCGGCCTCGTGGGCCAAGCCCCTGGGCCGGGACCCCGCGAATACGGGGTGTTTTTTCGCGCATGCCCCGCGCGGAACGTATCCGTGCGACCGCGTACCCGCGGGATCGCGCCCCGGTATTCAGACCGCGAGGGCGCGGATTAGGATATGTTCGTCGCTCGGGAGCGGATTTCAGAATTTGCCGCTTGATGCACTCCGACCGTACTCGAATCGCTCGATGTTTCGATCCAGCGCCATCCGCGCCTTCGTCTCGCTGGTCCCGAGCGGGTGGCATCTCCGCTCACGCCAAGCCCTTGCACAGAAGGGCCTCGCCCCACATTAAGTCAAGCCAAGTCAAGTCACCCCGCTCGCACAAGGGCGGGTCCTAAAAGGGGCGAGGGAACACAAATGCCAGTCACTATTCATGCCTGGTGCCCAAAGGAAGCAACGCGCCTGCTCCCGTCGACGTGCAGAAGTCCAGGAAATCTCCTGTCGTATCCACCCATGCTGCGTAATCTTGTGCAGCTTCTTGCCACGGTCCGATCTGGTTCGCCTGGCAGAACGAAGATAGCTTCGCGTCCCAAGACAGGAAGAGGACGGCCCCGTGAGCGCGATCCCGGCGGCGTCCAATGCAAGGCTCTCTGGACCCACCGATCAGGAGGTAAATTCGCAACGTCTGCTGCCAGATCCCAATACTTCTTCATGGACTCTCTCGACCACGTACGAAGACCATGTTCCCCCAATGCTTGGCCGAGCTTCTCGTGCTATAAGTGCAGAATATCATGCCACGGTCGGGACCAATCCACGCCCGCAGGCGGGCCAAGGACCTGCCGCATCAGACGCCAGAGCGCGACGTCTACTTTGTGCAGTGAATCGTTGTATGGCTTCCAGACACCAGCTCCGAAACACGCCACTGACGTTACGACTCGGCTGAAAAGCTCGAGCCGGGCAGCGAGAGATACATTCTGGTCGCGTAGAATGGCCCTGTTTGCAAAGAAAGTTTTTCTTGCGGACGTCAGATGGTACTCCACGTTCAAATTGTGCGTTCCAGGACCACCAACGGACAACATGCATCCCAACCATTTGTGGGTGGTACTCCGGGGGAGGATTTTGATGGCTGCGGCGGCCCGCGTGGTAATTTCTTGCGGGGGTTGAGCCTCTGTTGTCATCACCGCCGTCTTGGCCGCATTCAGAACCAATCCAACTTTGACCCATTCGTCGACCAGTGCGTCCAACTTCGCCCGCTGATTTGGCAAACAATACTATGTCATGGGCAAAACGTAAATCTATGAGCGGCCTCAAACCGTCGCCAAAATCGAATCCAAGATGTGAAACCCGGGTTCTCCACGCACGCATGGCCCACTCCAAGACAGTTGTGAACAGAACGGGGCTGAGCACGCATCCTTGACCAACGCCAGCATTGATCGGACATGCTTGGCTTCTGGCCCAATGGCCCCAGACTTGCCCTTCTTGGTCTCGATACAGACGGTGCATTGTTCAAATCAGATGGTCGCTGACGCCGAGCTGCCGCAGAGCCTCCCACAACGCGGTCCAAGATACTCGGTCGAATGCTTTTGATAAGGCCAAGTTCACGATCCAGACGGGAACATTCGCCGCCTAAGCCTTCTCAATAACAAGTGTTGCTAACAGAAGACGAAGTTCCTCCAGATGCCTGTTAGATCTGAATCCGTGCTGCTGCTCTGGTTGTTGCGACTGTTCCTCTGGTTGTTGCGACTCTAGCAAGTGCTCGACGCGCCCCAGCAGCATGTATGCACACAGCTTGTAGATAAGACGGATGCTCGCTATAGGTCGGAAATCTCCGACTGCCTTGGCGTGCGTCTTCTTTGCCCACGTGATGAAAAAAAACATGTTGCGCCATGATTATGGTACGTCTTCGCCAGCAAGCACTGCATTGTACAGCGCAAGTGATATCTCCTTCAATTCAACATTTGAGTGCTTCAGCATTTCCGCCACTAGACCACGTTCGTCGGGGGCCTTGTTTGATCCCAAACGCCGGATGCACTTGTCGATCTCCTGTATTGTGAACGGCGCCTCTGTGAGGGAAGGCGGCGGCACATCCTCAGCTACCCCTGCGAAGATGTCACGCAACATGTCGGCATCATCGTCTGGCGGCGGCTGCTGCGACGTCTTCTTACCCGAAATGCCGTGGGAGAGTCTTTTCAAACCTCGCCCCGCATCAATATAACGAAAAACAGCAAACGACAACACATAAACTAACATTCAATAAAACCACAAAGCAGGTTCGCGTCGTGTCGACCCGCGGCTACCCCGCGGCGGGCGTTCAACGTTGAACGCCGCTGGCGATCCAGAATCGGTCGACGTTGAACGATCAGACGTTTCAGAAGCGGCCGATCGTTCAAGGTCGGACGATCCCCGCGGTGTCAGGAACCAACGCCTGGGTCGACACGGCACGAACCTGCGGTACGCAACAACCAGAAGAGAGCCTCGTCCACCAGGCCCCAGGGGCGCGCAGATCCAAGAAATCCGCGCGGAGCGTCAAAAGTTTATGTTCATGCCGTTCTTCCTTCTTCGAATGCTCGTCCGTCGCGGGCACCGAGACGCCCTGGCAGCTCCATGAGACCACCTCGGGCTCGAGTGGCATCTCTCGCCAGCGGACTGGTAAGCCGGCCGGGCAGGAGCGGTCTTCGCGGTGGCTGGGTTCGTCAGGCCCTCGCTCGTCGTACGGCGTCGTCCTCAGCCAGGTCGGTGCCACACTTTTTCTGTGTCGGCGGCTAGGCAGAGGGTCTGCGCTGGCGAGTTGAGCAAAACGGGGCACGCTAGGCGAATTCAGCCACCGTGCAGAGGGGGAGGGAGGAGAACAAGAGGCGCCCGCCCAGGAGGGGGGGTTGCGGCAAGGAGGAGCCGGGCCCGCTCAGAGCAGTCCGGGGGGGGGGGGTGGCGGGGCGGGGGCCGGGTTGCCAGCGGCGGCGGCGGCCGGGAGGCTGGCGGCGGCACGGTCGATGCCACACGCGCCGCGTCTCGAACGACTCCACGCGCCTCGGGGCTTCCTCGAAGCGCGTCCCGCGTTGCTGTGTGCCCTGCCTCTGGCCGCCCAGGGTCATACGTGCGAAGCCTTGGCGAAGGACTGACACGGCTTTCCCGGTGGCAAATCATGGGAGCCTGGCATACCCTCTGAATTCCGTCTTTTGGGTCGATTCGCGTCGATTGGTGTCTGGGAGTCGATGAGGTAGCGTCGATCAGCGTCGATTTAGCGTCGCGTCGATTAGCGTCGATTCGCAAGAGCCGACAAGATGGTGATTTTGGGAGGCTCGCATCAGTTGCCACCGAACGTTGTGATGACGTCGCAGGGTCCTTCAGGGCCAGGGCGTTCCAAGCGTGTCGCATGATTGCCATCGGTTCCAGTGGATTCTTACCGTCTTCTTCCTCCTCCTCCTCCTCCTCCTCCTCCTCCTTCTCCTTCCTCCCCGGTCGTGCCCTGCTCCGAGGCGGAGGCGGAGATGCGGCTAGCGGTGAGCTACGCCAGGGCCTCGGGGAAGGAGTCGGAAGCCGCGCAGTGGGAGGCGCCACCCACATCACGGGGCGAGGGGTCACGTAATGGGTCACGTAGCGGGAGAACTCACAATCGGTTGGCGTAAGTGTCCAATGTCCGCGCAGCCGTTTCCCATCCCTCCTTGAGATGGGAGCCATTTGCTGTCATAGGCTGATGTTCCAACCTATTTTAGCAATGACCACCAGAAATAATGTCGAGCACCAAGCAAGTACCGAACACAGAGAGTTTTCACGTGTCGGGCCCTGCCTGCGAGGCGATACTCGTTCGATTTTGTTTCGACACTTTCCTGGGTGCTCGAAATTGTTTCCGGGATGTGGTCCTTTGGGGGGAGCGTAAGACCCGGGTTTGCCGGGACTCGGGTTCGCCATCGTTTTTTGACGACCGCGCCTCGGATTTTGACGAGGGGGAGTTTCGCGGGATGTCTGCAGCGGGAGGCCTCGTCAAAATGCAGGCTCGGCCTCGCCATTTTTTTGACGACCTCGTCGGGGATTTCCGAGTCCCCTGTACCCAGGTCTTACGTCCCCCTGAACTTTCCTGGGTGCTCGAAATTGTTTCTGGGATGTGGTCCTTCAGTACGATGGGAGCAACATAATCATAGGCGAAAGGAGCTGCTGTCAGACACGGCTGTTCTGAAGTGCCGCGGGTCGGCAGCGACCGCGCGCGGGGTGGGATGACGAAAGATAACGCGGCCTGTGCGGCTTTCGGATCCAAGGGCTCCCTCGAGGGCGCGAAGTTATTCTCCCCCTCGAGGGCTCCCTCGAGGGCTCCCTCGAGGGCTCCCTCGAGGGCGCTTCGCGGTCCTCGTTCCTTCTCCCCCTCCTCCTCGTCCTCCTATTCTCCTTCTGGGAGGGCGGCGCGAGAGCGCGAAGTTATTCGCGCTCTCGCGCTTCGCGCAGCGCGAAGCGCGAAGTTGGGAGCCCGAGCTGATCGGATAGTGTGCCTCCCTTCGGCGGAGCACATTGAGCCTTGGAAGCCTGACAGATAGCTCCAGCGCCAGTGTTACACCCGGCTGGAGAGTTCCAGGTCATGGAAGCGGCGTCCATTGGCCACGGGGGAAGAGAACCCAGAGGATGGGGGGGGGGCAAGGGACGAAGCAGCAAAGCCAGGGAGGAGGGGGAAAGGGCTTGATGCAGCCCCCCACAGGTTTGGAGGGTAGCGATGCGTTAGCCCAGCAGGGCCAGTAGACTACGCTGGATCTCTTGCCGGCAGCGTTCGTGACCTCCACTGGCAGCGATTGCCAAAACATCGCTATAAGATCGATGCTAGCGCAGTGCGATTTGGAGACGCGTGTGCAGGTTTACCGTGAATGTTCCTTTGTAGGTAAGTAGGCTTGGGCAGATTCTCGTTTGCACAGTGCATAAGTCTCTTTTTGCTCGTAAGTCGGATTGGCCGATTCGCACGAAATGGCAGACAGCGGTGTGAGGGCCAGGCTGCTAGTTTGTGTGACCGTGTTCTTGCTGATAGGAATATGAGCTCGAATGTGCTGCGTTTCACGCTGGATTGTGGCCTCGGGTGCGCGAATTTGTTGCAATGCTCAACAACCTGTTGTGATTTATCCCGCGAGCGCGAACGCAGCGTAACTTGTGAGGGGTTGTGCCTTGGGGACCCGACGTGCGGTGATTTGATAGGGATTGTGGCTTCGGATCGCGAGCGCCTGGTACTTCGCACAAGGTGCTGCTTCGGGAAATCAGACGCGCAGTGTTTTACAAGGGATTGTGACTTCGGGAGCGTGGACGCGATGTCATGTGCTAAGGATTGTGGTTTTGGGAGCGCGATGTCTTAGTTCGTAAGTTGGGGGAGAATGCGGCCTCGAGAGCGCCAGCGCGTCGAAATTTACGATGGGGTTGTGGCCTCGGGAACGCCAACGCGCGGTAAGTTACAAGGGACTGTGGCCTCGGCAGTGCGAACTCGGCGCAGGGTGCTAAGGAGTGTGGCCTCGCGAGCGTGAGCGCGTCGTAGCTTACATGTGGTCGCCGCTTCGGGGGGCACAGCCTCCCGCAGTTTCAGAGGGATCTCTAGTCTCGGGGGCGCGACGCTGATGCCTTTGACCAGGGATGGTGGTCTCGGGAGCGCGAGCGCGGAAGCATGGACAAGGGATTGTTGCCTCGGGGACGCCTTCTTGTGGCAATGCGCAAGGGATTGTGGCCTCGGGAGCCCGGGTGCGTAGTAATGTCCTAGTGGTGCTTGCCTCCTCGCGCAACCACGCTGTAATCTGCGGGTGTGTGTAGCCTCGGGGACTCACACTCGCTGTGCTCTTTGCATGGGGGATGTGGCCTCGGGAGCGCGAGCCTGCAAGAGACTGGCCTGGGGGGAACGGGTTCGTTGTACTGCGGGGGCCCATGCCAAGACACACCCCGCTTGCCTCCAGGGTGCCCTGGGTTTCTTGGATTTCGATGGTTCTGCCGTAGAAAGCGTGGCGCTCCCACACCAAACATCGATGGCCGTCCTGGGGTCTCAGGGGGTTGGTTGTCTTGTGGAAGGTTTCTTGCAGGCGGGCCCCAACGGTACTGTACATCGGGGTCTGTCCTCGGGAGCGCCAGCGCGCCGCAATTCGAGGGGATTGTGGCCTCGAGGGCGCACATCTGTGATATACGGGCGGGATTGGTTGGAGGGGGGGCGGACGGTGTGCGGGCCGTGGTCCTCGCGCGGACGTCAACCATTACAGCACTGGGAATATTTGGAAGGTCGGATATTCATAAGTGTAGCATCGAGTACTGGGTGTGATGCAGGGGAGAGGAACACCCAGGCCTCGCAGCGTGTTGCCCCTCCCCCAAGGTGGCGGGCGGATGAGTGATTCAACGCGTGTGGTCTTCATTCCCCGCATCCTACGTGGGTCCCTGGCTTTCTCTCCACACCGCGCAGGGACACCTCACCTCCTCTGTCTTTTTCTTTTCCTTTCACACTGGCAATCGCCACTCACCATCATCACACGACCATCACCCCCCAATCATATGCCAACCATGATCATCGACCTCGACGATTTTTGTCACCATCATCGTCGTCATCATCATCATCATCATCATCATCATCATCATCATCAGCATCAGCATCAGCATCACCACCACCATCACCATCACCATCATCGTCATCGTCATCATCAGCATCATCATCATCATCATCATCATCATCAGCAGCATCTGCATCATAAGCATCCGTAGCCATTTTAGCTCAAGGAGCCACGCCGGTGTGGCAGCGGTTTCCCCGTTCGAGCTTCGCGTTGTTCGGGCAGTTTCCTCAGTTGGCCCGTTCGAGTTCCGCGCTGTTCGGGCATTCATGGCAGTCGCGGCGCTGGACGCTGCTGCCGCCCTGGCGCCGCTGGTTCGAGCGGCAGCCGAAGGCGCGGCAGCGGGGGGCGCTGCGAGGCACGGCATCGCGGCCGCCGTGGCCGCCGCGGTGCGCGTCGGTGCTGAGCTGATCGGGGGCTGGGCTGCAGATGGAGCTGGCGATGAGGAGGACGCCGAGCTCGCCCTGCGGCTTCGGGCCATCAGGCCAGCCCTGGCGCGCCTGATCCGCGGCGAGAGGGCTTCGGGCGCCGAGCGGGCGACTCGGAACCTCGGGGCCCACGCCTTCCTCGGTGAAGGCGCCGATGTCCTCGAGGCCGCGCTCGAGCGGTGGCAGGCCAGCCAGCGCCGTGGGCGGTCTGGCGCTTTCGCCCCAACGGATTTGGGGGCTCTCAGCCGTCCTCCCCCTGAGGCGGGATGGCGACCCAGCCTGGAGGCGAGGCGCCGCAGCATGGCGCCGCCCACAGACGAGTGCGGCTACAACGGCGATGCGAAGAACGACGATGACGGGCACCAGCAGCACGTGGACGAGCAGCAGCGCGTGCAGCTGCGCAACCAGTACGAGATCAAGTACGGCGTCGGCGGCGACGAGCTCGAGGGCTACGACAGCGATCGCGGGCCCGATGAGGTCAGGTTCGAGTCCAAGCCCGAGCTCGGCGAGTGCGCCGGCGACGGAGCGCATCGCCGACGATGATTCCAGGCTCGTCGACGACGACATCCTCGATGACGCCTGCATGGGCGAGGACGGCCTCCCTCGGCTCGGGCGAGGTGCAGGCGCCCCTCGGCACCCAGCACGACGAGCCGAGCGATGTGCAGGACGAGGGCGAGTACGAGGAGTGCACGGACGCGAGCCTGGGCGCTGGCATTTGCGCGGCGTCGAGCCCCGCCAAACCAGAGTCGGTCAGGCGGCGGCAGAGGCGCGGCCGTCGGCCCACGCGGGAAGGACCGACGGCATCGGCCGCCGTGCTGGCGAGCGCACGGGCACTCAAGGCGACGGAGGCAGCCGAGCCCGCCACGTGCACAGCATGAAGAACGGCTGCGAGGCGGGGGAGGGCCGCGACCCGCGGCACTGCCTTCGTCCTGGCGGATCGTGTGCGGTCGGCGCCTGGGGCGGTTCTTCCACCCCTCGCCTCTGGCGCGCAGTGGTGGCAGTGGATGCTCGAGGAGCTCGGGCGTCATGGCGGCCCGAAGGCACCCAGCGCCTGCCCGCCGACCACGGCGGTGAAGGGGGTGGAGTGCGAGAGGGGCCCGGCTGATGATGACGAGGCTGCAGATGATGATCTTCTCGGCAGCGACCCGCCGGAGTACTTCTTCGACCACGCCTTGGTCTGCGCGTGCCACGGCGACCGGACCAAACGCCACAACGTCCTGCGCAACCAGGCCTTCTTCGACGCCTTGGCCGCTGGCCACGCTGGGGCGGAGTTGGAGCGCCTGGGGCTGCTACCCCCGCGCCCCGCCGGGGAGGCCACCCCAGGGGGCGAGCAGGGTATGTCCCAGGTGGACGACAAAAGCCGCCGCCCTGCCGGCGTCTACCTGCCACGGTGGCGCAACGGCGCAGCGGCCGCCCAGGACTTTGGGTTGCTCGCCGATCTCCTCGCCGCGTCGGCCGTTTCGTCGAGCGCGGCGACGGAACGGCACGAAGAGGTCAAAAAGCAGCACCAGGACGCCGCGCGGGATTGCGCGGCGCAGGGTTTCCTCGCGGCGGTGATGGAAGCCCCCGGGCCCTCCCCCCCCCTCCTGCCTTTGCTGGGCAGCACGGGCGCCCCCAGCACCCTTCCGCCAGCGGCGCGCTGGCCGCTCCTCACCCCTCCCCCGCGCGCTCCGCCCAGCCTTCCCAGCGGGGCGGCGGTGGGTGATCCCGCAGAGGGCTCCCGCCACCAAGCCGCAGCGTGTTTGGCTCGGACGGCCACCCCGCGCCGCCCCACGACGACCCCGACGGCCCCTCCCGACGACCGCAATCGAACCCCCCCCCGACGTCCACCGCCCAATCCACCGCCGCGCCTGCGCCGCCTGGTCGGCGCCGCCGCCGGAGGGTCTGTAGCTTCGTCGCATGTGGCTCTCCTCTCCCTGCCCCTGGCCCGGCCTGTTAGGTTGTCCGTGTTTTTTTGTGTTTTTTCCTTTCCTTGCCTCCCTCCGTCCTTATGCCTGCATGCTGTCTCCGCCCGGCCCTCTTTCCGCCTGCCTGCCCGCCCCGCCGGCCCCGGGCTCCCGCTTGCGCATTCGTCGTCGTCTGGTTGCTTCTCCCGTCCTCCTCCCCCTTCGCAGGGCAGCGCCGCCGTCTGGGGCCAGTGTGGCGGCGCGCAGGACTTCGCCAGAAGGTTAGGTTACAAGGGTGACGCTGAGCAGCGACGGCGTCACTATGGCGTCAGTTTCAGCTTGCACCGTGGAGTGCTAAAGTAAGTCAACAACCAGAGGATGTGTTATAGCTTCGCGTATCCGCGCCAGCCCATCCAGGAACGATGTCTAGGGGAGTTGCCCGTATCGGGTGAGCGCGGGATTGCCTTTCGGATTCGCGTGGGATGGCCCCTCTGCGGCTACCGTTGGCCTCGTGGGACGTTTTGTTTTTTGTTTGGGCGTTTATTGGTGGCTTCCTTGGAATCTCCTGGGGGCGCGTTCGCGCATGCGTGATCTGAGTGTGAATAAGTATGGAAGTGTTTGATGTGCGTGTGATGAGGGTACAAAGAGGGTGAGAGGAAAACCGACACAAGAGAAAGAGAGAAAGAGAGAGAGGAAAACAAACAGGACACACACAAAAACAGGCGGGATGTGAGGAAATGGAGGCGTCGAAAGTACAATCAAACACCACATGCGCAGGAAATTGCAATCCGTGTTTGTGGTTTGTTTGGGCCATCTTCGAACCGTCTTGGGCCTTGGGGCGTCCCGTGGGCATCGTAAGCCGTCTGACGGCCGCCTTGGGCTGTCTCGGGGCGCTCTGGTGTCTTTTCGTGGCCTCTCAGGCCGTACTGGGGCCAATTTGTGTATTTTACCATCTGAATCCGTATTTGCGCTCTCTTCGACCTTGGACATATCACGCGGCAGGCGGTACGAGTCCTGGTCTGGCGGGTGCGGTTGTTGCAGAGTGGCCCCGCGCCTCGTGTCTTGCGTGAGGCCCACGGCCATCTGGGTCACATCAGAAAGTGTTTAGCTTTATGTCGGGCCTGTCCCCCTACAGGGGGAGCTTCGACGACAAATTCAAAATACACAAAACATAGTCAAACCATAATCTAAAAATAGTCTGGGGATTATTTGTTGAGTAGTTTTTGACCGTCTTGGGGTACTTGTTGGGTATTTTTTATTTCTCGTAGAAAGAATCCCTGCAGGGGGACAGGCCCGACCTAAGTCTAGCTGTCAAAAAGCACCCATACTATTGCGACCCCCGATCTTTCGGGATGGAATTCCGTCGGGGCTATGGGCGTGCGTTGTCGGATGGGGGTCCCTGCTCGCGTGGGAGCCCCCTTCGGGCATCGGCAACCCACACCCATAGCTATAGCGCCTCGGAGTTCCACATGCTTGTGGATGAACCGAAACGTTTGGAACAAGGCTGTCCAGAAACGCAGTCGACATCAGAGGCATACGCGAGAGTGTGAGCGTACTGTGCCATCTTTGAGGCCTCGGGAGCATTTCGAGGAGTCTCGGTCGATGAAATAAGGACACGACTGCGCGATCCTCGTTGGCGGGTTCAGGGAGGTCAGCGACAAGGTGGCGAAACATTGCGGAACTCACCCAGCACACGAGGTTGCAACGAAGCGGCTACGAGATGGCAGCGGGCGTAAACATGGCGAAACCTCGCCGGACCCACCCAGCGCACGAAGCGGCAACGGGTGGCAAAGTGGCGAAATCTCACCAGCCCACCGATTGGATATCGATACTAGATCGCTGCATCCGTCAGTCGTAATGAACTGTGGAGAAGCTAAATTTGTCGACCTGTCTTATAAGGTGCTCGAGTAGTTGCTTTCGTTGCTGTGGTCCTGTGGCGTCTCAAGGCTTGAGCAGGCGGTCCAACATTAGCCCATACTGCCGCAGTCCGAATTCTCAAAGGAAAGGGCCTCTGGATCTTACCCGTTGTGCTCAGATATGGAGTTCGAAATCGTCGAAGACGCTTTTTGGGAAGAATTGCAAACTCATGAGGATGAGGTTGAGCAGAAGTGAAGGGAGATCATGCAACCCGCCCGGAAGGCCGAGATCGAACGGTGTTTCGTGAAGGTGGGCCTCGCCCTATTTTTGTCCAGGTATATCTTGCCACCCTGCTGCTGCTGGTTCTCCTTGTCCCTGCCACTCATTCATTCTCTCCTATTCTTGCACTCGCTCTGGTATGGTTGTATGCCCCCAGTGTTTTGTCTCCTGTGCGCGCCGCATCCTGATTTTCCGAGTAGCTTGTCGCCCAATTGTTACCCATATAATCGTTTCCTCGGGGTCCCCTGTTCCCGTTGCACGGTCAGTCCATCATCCCTTCCCGTTGCTCCTCTCCTCCTTCTAAGCCGTTCTTTCGTATTCCATTGATGCTCTTTTTCATTGATGTTCGGTTTTCCGACTCGTCGTGACTTCATGTGCATGGTTGGGTGAGCACATCTTCGTTGGGACCTGGACTTGCCAGCTTGTCATGAGTGAGGCGTTCTGAAGTGCGTGAGGCGTTCTGAGGGCTATTTGCAGGACACGTTCCACAATCGTCCAGATCTTGTGCTCAGAGTCCCGCGTTGTCGTTTGTTCGGTTCACGTCCCGCCCACAGTGGCAATACGGAGAGTATTGCGACCTCCACGCATTTCTTGCACAGCCTCTGCCCACCCGCTGGTGGACTGATACGGCTGGAGAGCGAACCAGGGAGATTGGTGAAAGTCTGACACAGTCGCCCACGGGAACGGATAGGAGCCTTATCGGGCCCCACGGAACCTTATAGGAGCCTTCTGGGAACTTTACGGCACCCTCCCAGGATGCCTTCCCGAGCCAGGAATAGAAGGGGCGCCTCGAGCGAGGCGGGGGCACGCGGCGCCACCAGGAGGCCCCCCCCCGTGGCTCGTCGAGGTGGTGGTGGTGGTTCGCTGTTCCTCCCCCTCCCTTCCCGCCCCCCTCCCCCCCCCCTTCGGGGAGACGTAAGACTCGGGCAAACCGGAACCTGGGTTTGACGAGCGCGTCCTGGATTCTGACGGTCCCGTTCTCGTGGGACGCTTGCAGCGGGAGTTCGCGTCAAGTTTCAATGTGTGTCTCGCCATTTTCATGATGGCCCCGTCAGGCCAACCCGAGTCCCCCGTGCCCGAGTCTTGCGTCTCCCCGATCCCAGCGCTCCGCCACTTGGCTGCTCGCTCCGGCCCTGCGCCCCTCCGCTCGCGCGCCCCTCGCTGGCCTCGGCCCTCCCTTTCGCCCGCCTCTCGCCTGGCCCTCGCTTCCCTCGACGCTCGACGCTCCTCCTCCTTCTCCTCCTCCTCCTCATGTCATCCTTCTCCTCCTCATTTCCTTCTCCTCCTCCTCCCTCCCTCCCTCCCTCCCTCCCTCCCTCCCTTCCTCTCTCTTCCTCCTCCTCCTCCTCCCTCCCTCCCTCCCTCCCTCCCTCCCTCCCTCCCTCCTCCCTTTCCTCCTTTCCTCCTCCTCCTCCTCCTCCTCCTCCTCCTCCTCCTCCTCCTCCCCCTCCCTCCTCACTTGAAGACAGCACTCTCACCCCCAACCCGACCCAGGACTCCACTCCCGAGCTATCCCTGGCTGGGGTTCTTGGAGGCCAGCAAACCACCCTCGTCCCCGGCCAGGACCCCCTGGACCATCAGATCGGGACTTGTGGTCCTGGCTGTAGGCGGGGCTAGCTCGTGCTGTCCTCATCCCTCCTGCTCTGTGCTTTTTCTTGTTGCCCTCGCTGCGGCTGCACAGCCGCCGCCGGCCCTCGCAGCCAAGCAGCGGTTTGCCTCGGGGTGGCGCCCAAGTACCGCGAGAATGCGGCAGGGATCCGGCCTCCTCTGTCGTCCTCGTCTGTCGTCCTCTCTCCTCCTCCTTCCTCCCCCCTCCTCCTCCTCCTCCTCTTCCTCCTCCTCCTCCTCCTCCTCCTCCTCCTCCTCCTCCTCCTCCTCCTCCTCCTCCTCCAGAAGGGTCTGCACGCAGAGTCCTGCGGTCTGCCTCGCGGCGGCGGCCTGCGACGGGCGCGGGGCGAGGCGTGGGGAGGACCTCCGTCGTCCCCCCCCATGGCCTGCGCCGGAGCTCCTCGGCTGTCTCCCAGGTAGGATCCCGCAGGAATAGGAGCGGCGGGAATTGCAGAGGAAATGCCTTCCTTCTCCCTCCCTCCTTCTCCTCCCTCCTTCCCTCCCTCCTTCAAGCCTTCTCCCCTCCCTCCCCTCCCTCCTTCTCCTTCAAGCCTTCTCTCCTCCTCCCTCCTTCTCCTCCCTCCTTCCCTCCCTCCTTCAAGCCTTCTCCCCTCCCTCCCCCCTTCTCCTTCAAGCCCTGAAAATCACATGCCTGTGCGTGCAAAATCAGCGCAGAGAGTGGCATCAAGCAGGAGACGGGACACGGAACAGCAGCGGAGGCCAACACCAGCTCTCGCCGCATGGATCGCGAGGGGCATGCAAATGGGCAACACCTGCTTCGAATCATGCCGCGTCCCCATCCTCGTCCTCCTAACGCCTCCTCTGTTGCGTTCCTCCCTTCCCTCTGGGGGTCGGTTCAAAGCAAGGGAGCAACATGCCCCACCACGAAAGCATTCGCCGGCAGGCTCCGCCAGCAGGTCACGCATAGCCCTGGCCTCAGGGAGCTGCCCGAGCAGGACGAGCCAACCGCGGACCTCGCCCGCCCCCTCTCCTCGGCCGCGCGCCGCTCGGTCTTCTCCTCCCTCTCCCTCCTCGAATGCGACCCCCCGCCAGACCTGGTCGGCGGGTGACCTCCCGCCGATCGCAGGGCAGGCCCCCTGGAGGCCACGGTGCCCTGGTGGCTCCACCGCTCGCTCGTCCGGCGACCTTCGACTCCGCCGTGGGCGAACTCTCCCGAGTCCTCGCCCGCCTGGCCCTCCGCGGCGCTGGCTCGGCCGAGCTGCCTGAACCTCCCGATGGGCCGATTCTCCGCCACCGCTCCCAATAGGTGGGAGAGGGAGGAGGAGGAGGAGGAGGAGGAGGAGGAGGAGGAGGAGGAGGAGGAGGAGGAGGAGGAGGAGGAGGAGGAGGAAGAGGAGGACGAGGAGGAGAAGGAGGAGGAGGAGGAGGAGGAGGAGGATGAGGAGCTCCCTTCTCCCTCATTCTACCTATGGTGGTGGCGGTGGTGGAAGAGTGGTGCACCACCTACAGCGCGGCGGCCGCGACCGCCCCGCCCGCGCCCTCTGCCGAGGGCGGCGGCGCGGCGCCGGAGGCGGCGCCGGAGGCGCGCGCCGTGGGCGAGGGCGCGGCTGCCGCCGCGGAGGGGCACGGTGGGGAGGGGAGAGGAGGGACGAGGGAGGAGGGGGGAGGTAGGGGGGAGGAGGGAGGGGGAAGCGGGGAGGAAGAAAGGGGGAGGATGGAAGACAGTCCGCGGATGCCCTCTGAGGCGGCTGAGCCGAGGGTCGATCCGCGCGGGGGGGGGGGGGGGCAGAGCGGGCGCTCTGAAAAGGAATTCGCGACCACCCCCCTAAGCGACTCTCGCCGAGGCGAGGTCGCCATTTTTGTGTGCCTCCGTTCGGTGTGACAAAGTCTCCTAGCGTGCACAGTCTGCCTGCTGCAGGCAGGCCTCGGCTATGCAATGCCCCTGCCGTGGTTCTTTTGGGGGGGCGGTCCTCTCTGGCGCCTCCCGCACTCAGCGTCAGAGGTTGTCAGCCACCAGTGTTGCCTTCTACCTGAGTCCAGCAGTGGTTTCGCCGTGGCCTCTGCTGGTGGAACACGAATAATTAAACGGTTGAAGCGAAACAAAGTGTTGAATATTCATTTTTAAAGTGCATATCGTTGATCACTGGAAACGGTTCCGCGCGCTCTCGCCCCGACGCTGGCTGCAAATCCTCTGAAACCGAGGCTCCCGCTCGAGCGCGGGCTTGATTGTACATGTGCGTCCTTGGAGGCCCGGCTACAACGGCAACGGTCCCCGCTCGATAATTCCTTACAATTTACCCCGAGATGCCCTTGCCAGAATGGCACCCGAGCTCAGGAAGGGCGCTCTCGCTCGGGACCTCCTCGCAATTCAATCAGGTTGGCGGAGGCCCAGCCGCGACGACAAGGGCTCCTGCTCGATGATTCTTCACGATTTACCCTGACAGTCCCTGGCCAGGAAAGCCCTCGAACTCCAGAACGGCGCTCTCGCTCAGGATTCTCTCGCCATTCCGTCGAATTGGTGGAGGCCCCACGTCGATACTTCCCCAATCTGTATTCTCAGCGGCCTTGGCCAGAGAGGCCCCCGAAGTCAAGAGTGGCGCTCTCGGCCGAAACACTTTCGTAATTCAGGCAAGTTGGTGGAGGCCCAGACTCGGCGACAAGGGCTCCCGTTCGCTACTTGTTAATGTGTATTCTTAGAGCCCCTGGACAAGGAAGAGAGCCCCCCCGAAGGAGGGTGCGAGCGAAGACGAAGAGGGCGGGTATCGAAGGCTTGGGTATACACCATGCAAGACACGCGTGCCAGTAATAACGAGTTTGAGCAGGTAATTTTTACCTCATGCAGAAGACGGTGCGAGCCCGACAATGGGCAACCGGCATTTCAATTGAAAAACACCGTGTGCACTGGTGCTGTGGAGCAACAACAACTTTTGTTCAAGAGCGAGAGGTCAAAAACGACAGTCCGCACCGCGGAACCTCCTTTCAGCCACGCGCGCAGGGACAATGAATGACCGTTCGGCCCCCTCATTCTCTTCAATATCTACCGCCCGCTGGGGTCTCGGGACATCGGTTCTGGTTAGGCTGCAGCCTCGTAGCAGCAGCCCGTTTCCTCGAAGGGGGCTGAACCTCCCTTCCTCCCACCGCCCTACTCTCGCGCCTGGGCTTTGACTGTGACGGCCCCCGGGTGAGGGGAGGACGCCTCGAGCACGGGGCGGGCAGACGTCGGCTGCGCCACGGGCCCTTCGACCACCTCGGCGTCCAGGACGGGGGGGTGGGAGGAACGATAATCCCAGAACCCCTCGCGTCGTGACAAGAATCTCAATGGAATTTTTGATGATCTCTGACCCCCGGGAATCATTGTGGGGCGCGGGGCCGCCAGGAACAGCTCTGGATGAGACGCTGGTCCCGGCGGAAGGGTCGAGAACTCTGGGGGTCCACGCTGTGAAATAACACCGCGTAAGGGTTCTGGGAATCGAGAATACTTGACAGGTGCCGTCTTGTCGATCTCGGCCGCCCTAGTAGAGCAGCGGTGCTTCCAAGTCGCCTCGGATCTGTACGAGAGTTTCACGATTGCGGTATCACGCCCCAGTCTTTGCAGGCCAGACCTCTGGCTTGGAAACATAGCTGACAGAGCGGAATGGGGACCTGTTCCATCGCAGCGGGTTAAAAATGACGCCAGAATTGAGGCCACCCAGATCCCAAGCATGGTGGCTCGTTTTTGTTCCCTGCCTAGGCTCTGCCTAGAGGGTTCTTACTCGCTGGGCTTAAAGGGGCCGGGCAGTGTTCCTCGCCCCGGGCGGTTCCCCCAGTATCCGCCCCGCGGTTCCCCCAGTTGCGCCCCCTTAGCTTAGCTTTGCTTATCTCATCTTAGCTCAGCCTAGCTTAACTTAGCTCAGCTTAGCTTAACTTAGCCTAGCCTAGCTTTGCTTACCTTAGCTTAGCTTAGCGCAGCGCAGCATTAGCATATAATAGCATATCATAGCATACCACATACTATCATATCATAGCATGGCGCAACATAACATAGCGCAGCATAGCATAGCACATCCTAGCATAACATATCTATGCATAGCATAGCGCAGCATAGCATAGCGCAGCAGAGTATAGCATAGCATATCATAGCTTAGCATATCATATCGCATCATAGCATAGCATATCATAGCATAGCATAGCTTAGCTTAGCTTAGCTTAGCTTAGTATAGCACAGCGCATCATACCATATCATATCATATCATAGCGTAGCATAGCATAGCGCAGCATAGCATAGCATATCATAGCGCAGCATAGCATAGCATAGCATAGCGCAGCATAGCTTAGCATGGCATAGCATAGCGCAGCATATCATATCATAGTATAGCCTAGCATAGCCTAGCATAGCCTAGCATAGCCTAGCATAGCGCAGCATGGCATAGCATCTCATAGCGTAGCGCAGCACAGCATAACATACCATAGCATAGCGCAGCATGGGATAGCATAGCATAGCCTAGCATAATACAGCGCAGCCGAGCGTACCCTAGCAGAGCATAAGTATAGCATAGCGCAGCATAGCGCAGCATAGCGCAGGATACCAAAGCATAGCACAGCATAGCATAGCATAGCGCAGCATAGCATAGCAAAGCATAGCAAAGCATATCATAGCAACAACGCAAAGACAAAGCAACAGCAGCAACAGCAAAGCAACGTACAAGCAACGCAAAGCCAGACCTGCAGTGCTGAGCAGCCTGTTGCTCTTGCAGGAGCCGCGAGCAGTGCTGAACAGCCTAGCCTGCAGCTCTTGCAAGCAGTGCTGAACAGCCTGCAGCTCTTGCAGGAGCCGCGAGCAGTGCTGAACAGCCTGCAGCTCTTGCAGGAGCCGCGAGCAGTGTTGAACCTAGTGCAGGATGTAGATGCAGGTGTAGATGTTAATGTAGCTGTCGGTGTAGATGTAGATGTTGCTTTCCTAGATGCTCCAACTCCTAGGTAGGGTCGCACTGGGATGCATGAGGGACCTGCCATCTCCGGGTCAGAACAGAAATCTGACAGTTATTGGCTCATTCGCCGCTCCGCCAGCTCGTTCATCCCGCCACACCTCGGCCTACAGAAGTTTCGTGCTGGCGCCGCAAATTAGAAGCTCATGCAGAGCCCTGGTTGCCTAGAGGAGCCCTGGACATCAGAAACCAGTCATAGCGAAAAGATGAATCCTGCCTGCTCCACCTGCTTCTTAAACATATACACTACTCGCGATCAGCAATAGTTATGGTTTGGGCATGCCGAATCGCAAAAGTAATACACATCATGGCCATGCTATGTATCTAATTTCGAACATGTGTACACGTCATTCGCACGTAGCCTTTATCAGACATGTGGTACTTCTGCCAAGTGTAGCATGTGCACGTCTTTATTGAGTGACACCGGGCACGGCCAGGGCCAGGGGACGCCAGAGCCAAGGAGGGAGGCTGGGTTCAGGGCCAGGGCAGGAGGACTGGGGCTCGGACCAGGAGCCAGAGGTCCGGTTTGGGGCGCGGAGGCCATGGGATGGGGGGCAGGGAGACGACGACGAGGATGGGGAGCCAGAGCCAGGGGGACGACGAACCACGAAAATAAAGATGTCCGAGCTCTAGAACACAACTGTGCAAAATAATAAATCCTCGACGTTCTACAATCCTCCTCCTCCTCCTCCTCCTCCTCCTCCTCTTCCTCCCCTCGCCTCGTGCTCCTACTTCCTCGTCCGCGTCCTGTTCCCTCCCCCTCCTCCTTCCTCCTCCATTCTCCTCCTCTTCCTCCCCCCCCGACCGCAGCGCGCGCTCCCCCCTCCCTCGGACGGCGGCGACAACGACGAAGAACGATGGGGTCTCCACCTAGCCTTGCCAGAGCTTCCAACCGTCAGCACTCAACGGGGCCCAGGAGTTCGCCAGTGGCCTTCAAGACCTCTGTTCCCCCCCGGTGAGTCTATCGGTCGAGCCTGTGAAGGCAACTGGCGGCCCGATCGGCTGAGGGCCTGGCACTTCCAGAGACAGTGTGAGGCTCCACGTCCCAGTGCAGGCCGCCTGCCCTTTCCTCCCTCGCTCCTCCTGTCCATTTCGGATGGGGCTACGTAGGGCGAGGATACATCCGTTCCGGAGCGTGCCGGAACGCTCGTGCCGGAAGGCTCTGAGAAGGCCGCGACGGCCGAGACATGTTCCAGAGTTGCTGGGTGGTGCAATAGGCCTGGTGCAGTAGATACGTGGGGTTGCAATAGGTTTGCGGTGTGCGATACATTCCGGGGCGCAAAGGTATTGCTGGATTTTCGCGCGCAGTACACTCAGTATACAAAGCAGTCCAATTCTCTGGCTCGACACATTTGCAGTACAGTTGCCCCAAATTCTTCACGCTTCGCGTATCCCCACCAGCCCATCTCAAAACAGCAACTCTAGCGAAGCATGCCGACAGTCGTGTTTTTCAGGCGTGTTTCCGCCTGCCCCCGCATATCTCCCCTGTTCCTCCTTCCTCCCGCCTCCTTGTACATCCTCCTTGTGGTGGGAGCGGGAGAAGGACGAGGCGGAGGAGGAGGGAGAGAAAGCGCTCCTCGTGGTTTGAGTCGTTCGGGCTTTTCGTCCTGGTGTGAGTCGTTCGGGCCCTTCTTCCTGGTGTGAGTCGTTCGGGCTCTTCGTGGTGTGAGTCGTTCGGGCTCTTCGTCCTGGTGTGAGTCGTTCGGGCTTCTCGTGGTGTGAGTTGTTCGGGCCCCTCGTCCTGGTGTGAGTCGTTCGGGCCCCTCCCCCTGCCCGTCCAGAAACGACGCCCAGGCGAGTAGAGGGTCGTCCTGATGGGCTTTTCGGCGTCTTGGGTGCCTCGGGGGGGCCTCTTTGGGCCGTTTGGGATCCTCTTGGGGGCCTCCTGGGGGCCTCTTGGGGCCATCTTGGGGCCTCTTGGTGCCTCCTGGGCGCTTCTTGGGGCCATTTGCAGTACAGTTGCCCCAAATTTCGTGCTCCACCCCCTTTCAGCTGGACCCCATTGTGGCCCACGAGTAGTTATCCTCGCCCTGGCGTCGTCTTACCGCTCTCTCCCTCGCTCCTCCTCCCCGCCCTCCTGGCAAGCGGAGGAGAGGAGTGCCAGTGAGAGGAGGCGTAGGAAGCGGAGGAGGAGGAGGAGGAGGAGGAGGAGGAGGAGAAGGAGGAGGAGGAGGAGGAGGAGGAGGGGAAGGAGGAGGGCGAGAAGAAAGAGTCTTACCGCTCTCTCCCTTGCTCCTCCTCCCCGCCTTCCTGGCCAGCGGAGGAGGAGGAGGAGGAGGAGGAGGAGGAGGGAGGAGGAGGAGGAGGGAGAGGAGGAGGAGGAGTGCCGGTGGGAGGCAGGGCTGGCGGCGCGCCCGCCAGCCTGGGGGGGGGAATGAAGGGGGGGGGGCTGCCTGTCTCACCGGGCGGCGGGGCTCCTCGGGAGCCTCCTCCGAGGCGGAGATATACACCCAGGCATGATTTTTTTATGCTTTATATATATATATATATAATTGTCTGCAAAACAGGACGGCATTCTTTTTTGCTATTTTCGGCCTTAGGGGGTCCTCGCCGGCCCCGGGAGCGTCAAATAACGACTCAGGATGACCCGACTACGATCGCGTTTTACAGTCAAAAACCCTAATAAGGACGCGCGACTTTGCTCAGGGTACCCTTGCGTCCCTGCTCTTCCTTGCTCTTGCGTCCCTGAGGTTCTCGTCGTCCGCCGCCCCAGAAATCCCAACTTCGGCTTCCGAGGGTCTTGCGTCCTTACCGCGCGTCCTGATTAGGGTTGTTGATTGTAAAACAAATTAGGACGGCGTTTTTTTTTTTTTTTTGTTGTTGTTGTTATTTTCGGCCTTAGGGGGTCCTCGCCGGCCCCCGGGAGCGTCAAAAGACGACTCAGGATGAAAAGCCGGCCCAGGGGAAAGGGTGGGGTCTTCTAGGGACGCCGTCCTGAAAAAAACAGGGCGTCGCATGTCTGGGTACATTCTAGGCCTCCCAGGTGAGGTTGATGAGATGGGGTCGGAGGGTCGCGCCGCATCGCCGATGCATCGCCGATGCGGCTCGATGCGGAGCCCGATTTCCTCCACGCCGACGTCGCCGATGCGTCGCCGACGTCGGCGATGCATTGGCGATGCGGCGCGATCCTCCGGCCCCATCTACTTGGACCCCATCTAGGAGGCCTCCATTTATACATGAGGCGTCCCAGAAAGGGCCTTGCCTTCGAGGATCGAATGAGTTGCCATCTCTTCCTCGGCGGAAGGGCGGCGGAAGGGTGGCGGAAGGCAGCGGAAGAAAAACGAGGGCGCCTCCGGCGGCGGAAGCCGGCCGAAGGCCAGCGGAAGGCGGCGAAAGCAACAGATGCGCCCCAAGGAGATGAACACGTTTTTCAGAGCCCCGAATCATCAGGGGTAACTCGGGTCAGGGATAACTCGGGTTCGTTTCTCGGGAATCCAAACCCGAGTTACCCCGGACCCGAGTTACCCCGGATAACTCGGGCGTCCAAGAGCCCCGAATCATCAGGGGTAACTCGGGTCAGGGCTAACTCGGGTTCCTTTTTCGGGATTCCGAACCCGAGTTACCCCGGACCCGAGTTACCCCGGATGATTTCGGGCGTCCAGAGCCCCGAATCATCAGGGGTAACTCGGGTCAGGGATAACTCGGGTTCCTTTTTCGGGAATCCAAACCCGAGTTACCCCGGACCCGAGTTACCCCGGATAACTCGGGCGTCCAAGAGCCCCGAATCATCAGGGGTAACTCGGGTCAGGGCTAACTCGGGTTCCTTTTTCGGGAATCCGAACCCGAGTTACCCCGGACCCGAGTTACCCCGGATAACTCGGGCGTCCAGAGCCCCGAATCATCAGGGGTAACTCGGGTCAGGGATAACTCGGGTTCCTTTTTCGGGAATCCAAACCCGAGTTACCCCGGACCCGAGTTACCCCGGATAACTCGGGCGCCCAATTTTTGGGTTCAAGGTTTCCAGATTCCGCCACGCAATCACCGCCTGGAGGATCCACTCTCGGGGACCTCGGCAGGCGGTGGATCTGGATTTCCGTCGGGCATGTCCCTCTACAGGAGGAGTATTCAAAGATAGTAAAAAATAGTCTGGGGACGTGCTTATCCGTAGTTTTGATCATTTTTGGGCTAACTTTGATTTTTCGTCCAAAATCCGCCTGTAGGGGGACATGCCCGACCTAACTATGGATCTATTCGGGCCCCCTGGTGCCCAAAGGTATCCGTGTCTACCGCCCGCGGTGGGCCCTGATCGACGGCTCCACCGGCGGTGCATGTGGATGTTTGCCCGCCTCGCACTCCCGCCTCCAGAAACGCTTGCGGTAGGTTCTCGTCGTGTCGACCGGCGGCGACCCCGCTGCGGGCGTTCAACATTGAACGCCGCCAGTTGCCCAGAGTTGGTTTATATGGAACAACCGGGCGATGGAAGAGTCACCGATCGTTCAAGGTTGAACGATCCACGCGGTGTCAGAAACCAGCGCCGGGGTCGTCACGACACGAACTTCCCGTGCTGATGTGCGCAACTTCGGCGCCCTACAGGCCGACGCCATGGCCCATGGCAGATGGGCTTGTTTTCCACCATCACCACCAGAAGTTGGAGTGGGGGAGGAGGTGGTGGATGATGATGAGAAGGAGTCGGAGGAGGAGGAGGAGGAGGAAGAAGAAGAGGAGAAGAGGGGGAGGAGGACCCCCTCCCCCTCCTACTTACGGTGGCGGCGGTGGAAAGCAAGCCCACCAATGGCTCCCCAGAAGTCGCTCGGAGCACCGGCGTCAGCCTCTTGCCCTGACAGCCGTGCCATGGCCCGGTGCTCGGGGCCGTGTGCCTTGCGCTGACGTTCGAAGAAGAAAAAACGCCATAGGGATCCAGCGCGGATCCAAGAGATCCGCGCGGAGCGCCAAAAGTGTAGACTTGTTCCCCAATCAGAGCTTGCCTCCGTAATTAGGGGTCCTAGCGGATTCATATGGTTGATGCTGGCAAGCGATTGAGAAAATGCCCCACCCCCCCCACCCCTTCTTGGGGGCTCCAAAATGAATGAGTAGGACAGACTAGTAGAAGTCAGCCGCCAGAAACTGTTTCTAATCGTCTGCTCCTCTAACGTTTTATTTTGCTGCCTCGCTGAAACTGATGCAGGTTTTTCATCCCCGACTGAAGAGCCAACCTGAGGACGGCCCAGCTCTCGTCCTCGCGGACGGCGGTTGGAGCTTGAAAATGAGGCCAACGCTGCCGCGGGAGCAGCGCGTCGGAAAAAAACGAAGAACTTTGGATTGAACAACAGATATGAGCAACAGACTCCCCCAATCCTCTGTGTAACAACACAGCGCGCGGGAGGATTCGTACCGAGCGGAAGCTCGAAAATGATGCCAGCGTTACAGAGGGAACAGCATGTTGGAAGAGCCGAGCACGTTCCGTTTGAATCAACAAATATGAGAAACGGACTCGCGCCAATTCTGTGTTTACAAACACAATACGCGGAGGGGTGCGGGCAATCTTCCAGAGTGCATCAGGGGAAAACGGGGAATAGTATTCAAATTGAAAACCTGTCGAGGAGCAATAATTAGCAGGGGGAAGGCGACAAGATATTGAAAAGCGAAAGGGAGGAGGAGGAGTCGTAGGAGGAGGAGGAGGAGGAGAGGGAGGAAGAGAATAGGAACAAGGAGGTGGGGAAGGAGGTCGCTTTCTGAAGGTGGCGCAGAATGTTTGTCTTCCGCGAAGGACTGGCGGATCAGAAATTTGTACTTCCCATTCAGGGCTGGCCAAGGGCAACCCCCGCGGCCTCGAATTGTCCGCCACTGCGGATTCGAATCGTCGGCCCGCAAAGTCCTTCCCAGCTTTTGCTTGCCCGGCCCTGAATTGACCCCCCGCCCCCCCGCCCTGAATTATCGGCCCGCGCCCCCCCCACCCCACGGGTTCCAGACAACCCGGGATTGTCCGCTCTCCGTCTGCCTGCCCCGCCCCCCCGCTATTGCGGTGGCGCGAAGGCCCGCGAAACTATGTGTTTCATCGTCGGCCCCATTTTTCCTTTGTTGAAACCAACAAAAAATCGCGTGCTCCCATTGGGTTAGCTGCGCCGCCGATTTTGGCGGCCCGCCCAGGTGCCTGGGTGTCCGGGTGCCCGGGAGCTGCGTCGCCGATTTCGGCGGCCCGCCCGTGTGCCCCATAGCCTCATAACCTGATAGCCCTATAGCCTTATAGCCCTACAGCCCTATCTAGCCCTATATTATATCCCTATGGCCCTCTAACCCTTTAGCCATTCAACCCTTTTTCCCTCTAGCCCTATAGCCCCGACGCCCTATGGCCCTATAGCCTTATAGCCCCAGAGCCCTGCATCCCCATATCCCTATAGCCCAACAGCCCAATAACCCTATTGCCCTCTAGCCTTCTAGACCTATAACCCCATAGCCCCATAGCCCTGAAGTCCTGTAGCCCCGCAGCCCCCCCCCCAATATGTATATATATATATATATATATATATATGATCGGGACTTCTCTCTGGTATCCTGGCGTTGTTTCTTCCTCTAAGCGTGGCGAGGGGCGGGAGGCCTTCGGAACTTTCGCCGCAGGCCGCCGGCGGCCTCTCGCAGACGGCGCCCCCTGGGGGGGGGGCTTCTGCGGAGCGCCGCCGCCCTCCGAGAAGGCCGACCCGCTCTGCGTTTCCCCCCGGGGGCGCGCCGCGGAGGGAGCAGCAGCGAGGAACGGCGCAGTGCCAGGGAGGGTTCCCATGCGAGGGGTCGCCAGCCCCTCGGGGAGGCGAGCTCCCCTGGACTTCGGTCGGGCCTGTCCCTTTACAGGAGGAGTGCTGCAACGCCAGATCATAATATGGGCGCGATTCTCTGCGTTTGAAAAAAACGGACTATTTGGGAATAGTTGTTGACTATGTTTACTTGTTCCTCAGAAATCCGCCCCTAGGAGGACATGCTCGACCTAATGCCAGGGAGGGTTACGATGTGAGGGGTCGCCAGCACCTCGAGAAAGCGAGCTCCCCTGGCCCCCCCCCCTCCCCCCCCCGAAGCGCCACCAGGTTTCGGGTACTGCCAGAAGTGCCCCTGGCCCAAGGTGCCCCCAGCTTCTCGGTCCATTCTGAAGCCCCTGGGGCCCTCTGGGCCCAGGGGTGCTCTGGAAGCCGTCTTGGCTACCCAGAGAATCCTGGAGGCACCTCGGCCCCGCCCCCGGGACACTTCTAGCAACACCCGACCAGGAGCCCCCCGCAACGCCCACAAAAGTCCAGCACCTCCTCGACGACCCAGCCTGCCTCACCCCTTTCGACCCGCGATTCCTACCAGGAGGCGGTGACCCTCCCCCTCCTCAGTGGTGACCCCACCTGGCACTGCCCGGAGGGGTTGGGCAGGGCCTTCGGTAACACCTCGAGGGAGCCGCGTATGTCTTTACAGTGCATTTGGCGTGCGTCAGCGTCTGGGAATTGATGGGCAAGCGCCGAGTTAGGCTCCGTTGTGCGCCGATTTGGCGCCGGCGAGCGTCGGTCGGCGCCGATTCGCAAGATGACGTGGGAGGCCCCCGCGAGGTGCCGCAGGAGGGGCCCGGGCAGCCTTCGCGAGGACGGCCGCCCCCACGCTCCAGAGGGGCTTCTTCAACCGCCCGAAGGCGGTGGCGCGCGGCAGGCTGCGCCGCCTCGCCGCCTCGCCGCCCGCTCGCACACCCCTGTGTGGATGGGCGTGTGAACGCGAGTGTTTGTCGTTTCGTCGTCTTCCTCTTGGCATGGCTCGGACGTGTGCGTTTTTTTTTATCGGCAAGGGGCCGTCGAGGAGCATTGCTTGTTCACGCTGCGAAAACATGCGCGCGCGAAACCGCAGAATGCACAGGGAGTGGGCGTCCAAGCGATGGCGAGTCCTCCGCCTCCTGCATGGTGGCGCACTTCGCTTCACGGCAGCCCCGTGTCGCTTCCTCGCCAGCGCAGTGACTCTGCCCAGCCGCCGACGCAAACAAGAACACGTGTGAGCACGAGCGCGAGTCCGCGCGAAAGTTCGACGACCGAGGATCGAGCTTGAGTTCCTGTTCGCCGTTTCTAGGGCCTCGAGGGGAGTTCCTCGTCGCCGCGGTTGGAGCCGTTGCGGAGTTCTGGTCGAATCGTTTCCCGTAGCAGGTCCGAGGATAGACGCTTGAACCATGCCCAGCCAGATGGGATCGCGTCGTGAGCAAAATCAGGACGGGATATTTGTTGCCTGTTTTCTGCCTCTCGGGTCCCTCGCTGGGCCCCAGGTTTGCCGAGAAACGGCGCGGGCTGAAAAACCAGGTGAGATTTTCGAGCCCCCCCCCGCCTCCCCCCTCCCTTGAAGGGGGGTGGGGTCCAGACCCCCCCCCCTCTTCCTCTTGGCGCTGGAAAGGGGGAGGGGGGATTGGGGCTGGGGAGGGGGCCTCTCGGATAGTGAGTAGCGAGTAGGACGTGGCGAGCTGTGAGCAGCGAGAAGCGAGTAGGGCGTTGTGAATAGTGAGTAGTGAGGAGTGAGTAGTCAGGAGTCAGTAGTGAGTAGCGAGTAGGGAGTAGTGCGTAGCGAGTAGGGAGTAGCGAGTAGTGAGTTGTTGTGAGTTGTGAGTAGAAAGTAGAGAGTAGTGAATAGAAGGTAGTGAGAAGCAAAAAGTGGGTATTCAGTAAACGGTAGTGAGTAGGGGGTAGCGAGTAGAAATTCGTGAGTAGTCTGTCGTGAGTAGTGAGTAGTGAGTGGTGAGCAGCGAATTTCGACTAGTGACTATTGAGTAGGATGTAGGGAGTAGCGAGTAGTGGGTAGCGAGTAGTGCGTAGTGGGTCGTGAATCTGTCCTCTCGGGTAGCGAGTAGCGGATTGTGAGAAGTAGGTTCTGGGCAGTGCTTCGTGAGTAGTGAAATGTGAGCTCTCAGTAGTAAGTGGTAGATAGTGGTTACTGGGTAGTGAGTAGTACTTAGTGAGTCGTGAGTAGTGGGCAGTGAGTAGTGTTTAAGGAGTAGTGAGTCTTGAGTACTGGGTAGTGAGTTGGGAGTACCGAGTAGGGAGTAGGAAGTAGTGAGTAGTGAGTAGTGGGAGCGTAGTGCCTAGTGAGTAGTGGGTAGTGGGTAGTGCGCATTGGGTAGGATTAGCGAATACTGAGTAGTTAGTAGTGAGTGGTGAGTATTGTGTAGGGAGTAGTGAATAGCGAGACGTGGATAGTGAATGGTGAGTTGTGGGCAGCGAGTAGTGAGTAGTGAAGTGTGAGTTGTGAGTAGTGGATAGTGGTTAGTGGGTATCGAGTAGTGATCTGTGATGAGCGAGTAGTGGGGAGTGAGTTGTGTTTCATGAGTATTGAGTAGTGAGTATTGAGTAGTGGGTAGAATGTAGTTTGCAGTGAGTAGTGAGTAGTGGGTAGGGAGTAGGGAATAGTAAGCATTGCGTCGTGGGTAGTGAGTCGCGGGTCGTGAGTAGTGAGTCGTGCGTAGTGGGTAGTGAGAAGTGAGTAGTGAGTAGCGAGTAGTGAATTGTGGTAGTGAGTAGTGGGTAGTGAGTAGTGAGTACTGTTTGGGGCTCGGGTTTGGGGTTTGGGTTAGGGGTAAAGGCAAGGGTAAGGATTAGTGTTAGGGGTGGCAGGGGTCGGGTTCCAAAGACCGGGGGCGCCGTGGCGAAAGAGGGGGAGAGGGGTGGGGGATTCGAATTTGGCGGCCAAAAAGGGGGAGGGAGGGGGGGGGGTCGGACCCCCCCCCGCGTTTGAAAGGGGGAGGGGGGGGTCCCCGACGACGGGCCGGGAAAGGGCGGGAGGGGGGGGTTCCCGACGACGGATCGGGAAAGAAGGGGAGGGGGGGGGTCCCCGACGACGGATCGGGGAAAGGGGGGGGGGTCCCCCCCCCTTGGGGTCATTCAGCGCGGCGCGCCCTCCTCAACTGGTATCCTACCTACTCTCGCGGAGCACAGCGCACATGCGAGTGACCACCCATCTCGTCTTGTAGCACCGTGCATGATCGGTGCACATACACCGTTTGGAAGCACCTGCCTGGGGCGCTCCAGTCGCAACGCGCAAAGGCGGTGGAGGCGCCCCCCTGGGCGGACCAGGAAGGAGGGGGAGAATCTATTTGGGAGGGCGGGCGCAGGGCCCGCATGGAACGGGAGAGAGCGAAGGCGTCCCACCAGTGTTTGTAGCGCGCCGTTGGGGGGAGCACCTGATCGGAACACGTGCGAGTAGCGAGGCAGGGTGCCAACTTGTGCAGCAGCTGAACCCGCCCGGCTGAGCTCGCCCTGGCTGAACTCGCCTGGCTGAATTCGCCTGGGCTCAACTCCCATGCCCAACTCGCCCGGCTGACCTCGCATCGCACTCAACTGGCCTCGGCTCAGCTCGCCGGGCTGAACCCGTCTGGGTTCAACTCGCCCTGCTGAACTCGCTCGCCTGGCTGAATTCGCATGGGTTTAACTCGCCAGGTTGAATTCGCCACGGTTCAACTCGCCTGGCTGAACTCGCATGGGCTCCTTTCGCCTGTTTGATCTCGCCTCGGCTCACCTCGCCCGGCGGAATTCGCCCCGATCCATTTCGCCCGTCTGGGTTCGCCTGGGCTCAACTCTCCTGGCTGAACTCGCCTGGGCTAGCCTTTTCCAATGTAGATGCGTTCAGGTGCCCCCGATGAACTTGCACCGTGCTCAATTCGCCGTGTCAACTGGCCCGGTTGAAGCCCCTTCTCAACCCGTCCAGCTGAACTCGTTCCGGCTGGATCCGCCCAGTTGAAAGTTCACAGGATCGCACCGTCCAAGGTAAAGGCATTCAGGCGGAATGGTAAGGGACGGGCAACACGAGGACGAGGATAACTCATACTCGAATTATTCGTATCGCGCCAAAACCATCCCATCCCAATTCGCCCGTTTGAACTCGCCCGAGGGCAACTCGCACTGCTGAGTCGTTCTGGCTCAACCGCCATTTGGATCGCCCCCGCTCGTCCCGCCCAGCTGAACTGTCCCTCGATTGCCTCGCTTAGCGCAGAGATGTTTAGGTGGAGTGGGGAGGGAATAGAAGGGGGAGTAGGAGGAGGAGAAAGAGGATAGGGGAGAAGGAGGAGGAGGAGGAGGAGGACGGACAGGAGGAGGATGGAGAAGGAGGAGGCGGAGGAGGAAGAGCAGGAGGAAGAGGAAGAGGAAGAGGAGGAGGAGGAGGAGGAGGAGGAGGAGGAGGAGGAAGAGGAGGATGAGGCGAAGGACGCGTGCGAGGAGGAGGACGACGATGACGAGGGAGGAGGATGAGGGAGGAGGAGAGAGGAGGAGGAGGAGGGAAAAGGAACGAGGAGGAGGAAACACGGAGGAAGAGGAGGAATAGTATGACATATGAGAAGAAGAAGAATGCGAATCATCAGAATATTCATAATACAATTCAGGATTTCAGCGAGACAGAAACAATACATCTCATTGTAAACATGCGAAGTACACTAACACTACTGATACTTCAAAGAATATTAATTTTAATATTACTGATGTCAGTATTATTTGTAATAGTAGTACTGATAAAAGTGGTGATGTGTGTGATGATGATGATGGTGATTCTGATGATGATGATGATGATGATGATGATGAGGATGATGGTGATGATGATGCTGATGAGAATGGCCGGCAGCATCACAAACAGAAAACGACTCGTAAGTCTAACAATGAAAAAAGTACGAGGAGGAGGAGGAGGAGGAGGAGGAGGAGGAGGAGAATGGGGAAAAGAAGGAGGAGGAGGGGGAGGAGGATGAGGAGGAGGAGGAGGAGGAGGCAGGAGGAGGACGAGAAGGAGGAGGAGGAGGACGAGGAGGAGGAGGGGGAGGAGGAGGGGGAGGAGAAGGAGAAGGAGGAGGATGGGGAGGAGGAGGAGGAATAATAACACGAATAATAAACTTACTATTGCGATTAATAATAGGAATCCGCATTTTAAGAATGTTAATAATATTAAGAACAACAAGACCAGTAATATTAGCAAGAGTAGTAGTATTGATATTAATCATAGTAGTATTGGTCTCCACACGCAGCCTTGGCAGGCACAAACGAATTTTTTTCGGAATATTGGAGAGGCATATGGGACGCAGCGCCCGTAGGCCAGTGGCCAGTTCTAGAACAGACTAAAGCCCAACGGGCGCTCGCAGAGGCCGAGAACAATGCAGACCTTCAGCATTCTCTAGGTAATGAAGCCGTAGATTGGCATGCGGGCGAAGCAGCAGCAACGCATGCCGTCAGCCCTCAGGAGGCAGAAATTTTCATAGCAGCAGCGGGTGGTTATCGGGATCTTATAACTGGTGCGGCCAAGGTCCTAGGCCAGTGGCCCAAAGCTGGAGAACTCTGGGAACAACTTTATAAAGCAGCCCCAGAGAGGAAACCGCGCCAGTTTATACAGAGCCACACACTTGTGTGGCACGACAGATGCTTCAGATGCAGCACTTGCTTTCGCAAGATACGCCCGAGATCGAAGTTCCCGTGCCAAGGTTTAAATTCGGCCATCCAGAAAGTGTCAGATGGCCAGCGAGGTCTAGGTCATGTGCTGCATGCAGCTACGATCGAAGGCTCGAAGCTGCCCATCATCATCTGCATCAGATGTGGTCGATTCTTAACGTGCAAATCGACCAAGCTAGATCAAGAAAGCTGCCCCAGGCCTAAGAAGCCCACGGCGGAGCTACGGAAACTCCTCCGAGGTCATGTCCCCGGATCTTCAGGGACGTTCGCTGATGTTTTCCCGTAGAGGAGCTTGCTAGGAGTATCCAGCAGCAGCAGCGGTGACAGCACAGCCTTCTAGGTTCCAGCAGCTTACAGCACTTCTCAGTACCCAAGATTTTTATGGGTGCGAGTGGCAAGTTCCACGTATGCGAGCACTACCCACTCTGCGGTGGGGTCGGCGCGCATGGATCTGGGCCGAGCGTCGCCCAGGGAACGACACTTGTGGCTATTGCGGCTCGCCCTGGGCTGATGAGGTGGAGCAGCCTGATGAGGATACGTTGCACGATTGGGTCGAGGAGGACGATAGTGACGGCCCGCCGCTTTCCCATTTCCTTCAGGCTTCTGCCGATGAAACGGCAGTAGCCAAGCAGCCCGTCGAGCCTCCTCCTGAACATCTGCTGGTGGCTGGCAAGGCCAGGCCGACAGCCAAACCTAAGACGGCTCCACAATCGCAGTTGCAGCTTCAGCGCGTTCCGAAGCTTTCGAGTTCAGCAGGTGCAGCCACTAGCTTCCTCTCCCCTGCGTTGCCTTCAGAGCAGCAGGTGCCCATGCTGCAGATGCAATGCAAGGCGCTTCAGACCCAGGTCCGTAATTTAACTAGGGGCCTAGAGGCAGCTCGCCCCCTGATAGAGTATCAGCAAGCCGAATTGGAGCAGCTGCGAGGGGACCCAAGAGGCCTCGCACGGAGGCCTGAGGGACAGGTGTGGGTTTGCAGGATGCAGATAGCAGCTAGAGAAGGCAGGAGGAGCATACGGGTAACACATGCTTTCCCCGCCTCCCTCGAGGCCCCCCTGGGGCACGGCTCCCCAATTTTTGTTTCTGGAGGAGGAGGGGCGGAGGGTTTCGAGTATTAGGCGTGTGTGGGTGTGCGTGTGTCGGGCCCCTGGCTCCTCTGCGTGTGTGCATCGGAGGAGGAGGTGCTCGTCCCCCTCATCCTCCTGGCGCCCTCTCGCTGCGCTCTCCCCGCGCCCTCCGAGTTTCCCCATCCTTAGCCTTCTTCTCGAGCTGCCCTCCTGCCAGCTGCCCCGTGCCCGTCGGCATGGCGAGGGCCAGCCGGGGCCCTGCGCAGGCGCCGGGAGGTCCCGGCGCTTTCCTCAACGCAGCCGGGGCCTTCGAAGTTGCGGGCAGGGCCCGAGGCGAGGCCATGTCCGCGCTGTCAGGCCTCCTGGCAAAGCTCGCGGACGAGAGCCGCCAGCTGCAGGAGAAGGCCAGCGAGCTGGCAGCAGCATCGAGCAATGAGGATGGCCACCTAGGCCCAGCCGAGGCCGAGGAGCACAATCGCCTTGGCCAGTGCGTGAGAGCGCGGATAGATACTCCAGATTTCGCAATAAAAGGGAGGGGGTCTGGACCCTCCAAGACAAGCCATTTCAGCCCCCCCCCCCCGTGGGAGAAACCTCCAAAACATCGCCCCCGGACCCCCCCAGGCCCTCCGAGATAGCCTGGGAGAGACCCCCCCCCCGAAATGAGACCCCCTCCCTTTACTGCGAAATCTGGAGTAACTTAGATGCCATCCGCGCCAGTTTGCTTGAGGCCCTTAACAGCTGCGATCGGGCAGATCGGCAGCTGTCAGCCCTGGGGCAAGCGAACCCCAACTTCCCTCCTCCCCCCGTCCAATCCAATACCCCCCCCCCCCCCTCCCTCCCACCTTTTGCGCGCTTGCGGCTGGGTAGTGATGCGCCCCAGGCCAGCGCTGGACTAGTGGGCGGTGGGGCGAGCAGGGGGAGAGACGAGGAGCGGGGGGGGCGGGCCCGAGAGACAGAGAGCGTCGCCCGACGTGCTGACGTCGAAGCACGGCCAGTGAGCGGCGAAGTTCGCTCAGGCGCGCCGCCCAGGCGCCGAGGAAGGGATGCCGCTCCCCCCTTCCTTTTTTCCCTCTTCGGGGTAGGCTGTGCTTGCACGACCTCCCCTTTTTGCAGAAATCGCAGAAATCGCAGATGAGAAGGAGGGGGGGGGGAGGGGTGGCAGGAGGAGGAGGAGGATAATGATGAGGAGGTGGAGGAGGGGGAGGAAGAGGAGGGGGAGGCGGAGGAGGAGGAGGGGAACATAGCGGAGGAGGAAAAAAGGGAGGAGGGGCAAGAAGGGGGGGGGGAGGAGGAGGAGGAGGAGGAGGGAGGGAGGATCAGGGGGGAGGAGGAGGAATATGAATAACAAAGTAAGACTAACACGCATAATCACAACACTATTCAATCATATACGAGTGATGACAGCAATCGTAACACTAACAATGCTAAATGTATTAAGTTTAAGCATAAGAAAAACAAGCTAAACGCATTGCTACTAATAGTAAACAGAGGGCAGACAATAGCAGCACTACTACTGCGAACAATAAGGATACTAACGCTGCTTACAATAATACTGAGAGGACGAGGAGGATGATGAGGAGGAGGGGGGGGGAGGAGGGGGAGGAGGAGGACGCGAAGGCGGAGGTGCAGGCGAAGACGATGGCGGGGGCGGAGGCGGAGGCGGATGTGGAGGCGAAGGCGGAGGCCGAAGCGCAGGAGGAGGCGGGGGCGGAGGTAGGAGGTGTAGGAGGAGGAGGAGGAGGAGGAGGAGGAGGAGGAGGAGGAGGATGAGGATGATGAGGAGGAGTTCGACTACGAAGCGGAGGAGGTGGAGGAGGAGCAGGAGGAGGAGGAGGAGGAGGAGGAGGGGGAGGAGGAGGAGGAGGAGGACGAGGACGATGACGAGAACGAGGACGTGGACGAGGACTAAGAGAAGCAATCTCATTTTTGCGTGCCCCCGCGCTCGCATCGCCCATGGACGGGAGACTCAAGTTGAAGGAGTTAGAAAAAGGAGGAGGAGGAGGAGGGGGAGGAGGAGGAGGAGGAGGAGGAGGAGGAGGAGGAGGAGGAGGCCTTTTGGGGCACTCTTATGGCCTCCTGGAACCTTCCTTGGGCTTCCTGGAGGCCTTTTGGGGGCTTCCATCGGCCTCTTGGGGGTCTTTGGGAGCTTCCTGGGTGCCTCTTTGGCAATCCTAGGGCGTTGCTGGCCCGTCTGACGCCGTCGAAAACGGTTATCCGCCCCTCTGAGCGGACCTGGGGCCCTCTTGGGGCGCTTCAGGGCCGTCTTGGAGGCTTCTTGGGCGCTCTTGGGACGATGTTGGGGGCCTCTTGGGCCGTCTTGGGCCGTCGGAGAGCTGACAAAACGAGAATGCCGAAGTCCATCAACAACATCCGGGACGTCAATGATTTGGGCCCTTTCGGGCCTTCCTGGAGGACGTCTTGGAGGGCTCCCGGGCTGCCTTGGATGCTTCTTGCGGGCCTATCGGGCCATCTTAGGCCATGTTGAGGCTATTTTGAGGCCATCTTGGGCCGTCTTGGGTGGGCCTTCTTGGGGCCCCCTTGGGCTGCCACGGGGCCATCTTGGAGGCCTTTTGGACGCTCTTGGGTCGATGTTGGGGGCCGCTTGGGCCGTCTTGGGCTTTCGGAGAGCTGAAAAGGAGCACCGGCCAAAGTCCTTCAAAAAGTTATCCAACGAAAATCCTGGGGTCTCCTTGTGGGCTTATTGGGGGCCGCTGTGAGTCTCTCGGGGCCCAGGGCTCGAAATGTCCGGTCCCCCGTCTGGTCAACCTCTTCGAGCAGTCTGTAGGGCCTCTTGGGCCGTCTGGGACGCCTCTTGAGCCGTCTTGGGGCCCTCTTGGGTCGTCTGGGGCCCTCTTGGAGGCTCTTGGGCCGTCTTGGGGCGATCTTGAGGGCCTATTGGGCCGTCTTGGCGCGTCGGGAAACCTAATCGGCGCAGACGCCCAAATCTGTCAACGAACCTAAGAAACATGTATGAAATTTGCCTCTCGGGGCCCTCTCGGGAGTGCTCTTGGAGGCCTCTTGGGGCGTCTTGGATGCTTGGTGGGTCGTCTGGAGGCTATCTTGAGCGTCTTGGACCGATCGTTCGGCGATTCAGGGCCCTCATGGACCGTCTTGGGATGGGGCGTTCTTGGCCTGTCCTGAGGCTTGTTTTGGCCGCAGGACCCCCCAAGGGGGACGGTATTTTTGACCGATCCAAGAAAACCGCGAGGAGTTCCGAAATTTGATGTTTGTGCAGTTCTTCCTCCCTCAATTTCGGGTGTCGCCAGGAGTGCCCACGGCCCGAGGTGCCCCCCAGCACTTCCTAGGAGGCCCTCGCGGCCTCCAGGGCGCCCCTCGCGAGGCCCAGGGGGCCACAGCGTCCCCAGAATGGGGCGAAAAGCTAGGCGCACCTTAGCCCAGGGACACCTGTCGTTGGTTCCTCGGGTCAGAACTCGGGTCCCTGGCGGTCGTTCGGGACGATTCGGGCAGCCCGGGAATGCCCTCGGCGAGGCGCAGCTGTTGGAGAGCATCCCGGTGCGAGAACACCTCCAAGAACCAAGGAACAACTCAAGAAATCCTCCTCCTCCTCCTCCTCCTCCTGCTCCTCCTCCTCCTCCTGCTCCTCCTCCTCCTCCTCCTCCTCCTGCTCCTCCTCCTCTCCAGGCCACGCTCCTCGTCCTCGTCCTCCTCGTCCTCCTCCTCCTCCTCCTCCTCCTCCTCCTCCTCCTCCTACACCTCCGCGACGTTTCCCTGCAGTGCCCTATCCTCCTCCTCCGTCCTCCTCCTCTTCCTCCTCCTCCTCCTCCTCCGCCCTCCGCCCTCCCCGAAGCTGGCGCCCCTTCGCCCTGCCGCGCTCCCCTTGCGGCCCTCCGACCACCCGGCAGGTCCTCCGGCCCTCCGCCCGCGCAGCCGGCCGGCGAGGCGGCGCACGCGGGGGAGGCCGGAGCCGCCGGCGCCTCGGCCTTTGCGGGCGGCGCGTGCCGCGGCCGCGGCGCGTGCTAGGAGGGAGAAAAAACACACTCGTCGATTCTCCCGAAAAAACATGGGAGAATCTGGGAAGTGGGGGGGGAGACAAACACCCCAAGCGTGTGCCAGGAGGGAACAAATCACACAGAGACACAATGAATCGTCGATTCCCCCGAAAAGAATACATGGGAGAATATAGGAAGTGGGGGGGAGACAGAAACCCAGACAATAGGGGAAAATATGGGGAACAAAAACACACACGCAGACACAATTCATCGTCGACTCCCCCGAAAAACTATGGGAGAATCTGGGAAGTGGGGGGGAAGACAGAAACCCCGAAAATAGGGGAAGATATAGGGGATTCCTGTTATTTGTGTGTAATTTGTTGTATGTCCCAGGGCCCCTTCAGTGTGCGGAGCGTCCCGGCGTGCCCGTGGGCCTACCAAACAGTGTTCTAAGGACCTTTTCTCAGTCGCGAGCAGAAGGGGGTAGGGGGAGGGGGGAAGGCTTCTTAGAAGCACCCCTGCTTCTTAGAAGGCGCGGGCCTTGTCTATAGATGTAAGGCTGGCGCCTTCTAAGAAGCAGCCTCTTTCTAAGAAGCCCTCCACCCTCCCTCCACCCCCTTGTGCGCGCCGCCAAGTTTCTGGTTTCCACGACATTTTCTTAGAGCATTTTTGGCTGGGGCTGTCTTGTTTTAACACCTCGGGCTTATGTCCTAAGAACATAGTTTTTGTTATTAGAAAATTGTTGGGTTCTAAAAACATTTCGTGGTATGAATATAGGAATGCCGGGACGGTCGGTCCCTGCTCAAGGCGTGTACCTGTAGGCTTGGGGCGCAAAGAATATGCACCACCACCACGCCGATTCCTCCTTTCTCCTCTACCCTTCTCTTCCCTTCCTCTGTCCTGGGGGAGGGAGGGGGTGAGGGAGGTGGTGGTGTATTTTTTGGGCCCACAATAGGCTGTCTCGCGGACCATGGCAGGCAGGTTCATGTTGTGCCGACTCGGCAGCGACCCTGGGGGCGGCAGGGGCAACTGCCCGTGGTGGTACAGTCGGCCCTGATTAGTAGGTCGACCCTGCCAGATCAAGGGTACCGTTGTGTCCTGCGTTTCGGGACCCATGCCTCCTACATTCCTATGGCAACGCGGTCCTCGGAAGGGTCTTGTGTCCTCTCGCGTGTCCTCTCCAAGCCAGTCCGACTGTAGGAACGCTTGCCGGCGCGAATGCAGGCCCTGCTCCTCCTGGGTAGCCTGTACTGCGTGGGGGGGGCGCAGCGTTGCAGGAATCGCCGCCCTGCTGGGGCGCCAGCGGCCGCGCCATTCGCCCGCTGATCGCTGGTGACAGAAGTTCGCGCGGGTGCGGCAGGGACCCCGCGGCGGGCGTTCCTGCTCGAACGCCGCGCGTGGCGGCGAGGCGAGAGAGAAGAAGGCTGCTTCTTAGAAGGCGCCGGCCTTACATCTATAGATAAGGCCCGCGCCTTCCAGGTAGCAAGGGTGCTTCTAAGAAGCCTTCGCCCCTCCCCATACCCCCTGCGCGCCGCCAAGGCGGGTTGACATACTTTTTCCGTTGGCGGCGAGGCAGAGTTGGCTGCACCAGCGAGAGAGCTAGACGGGGGCACCGAGAAGCGTATGCATTGGCCAGCATGCAAGAGTGGGAAACGGGCAGCCGCGGGTGGGGAACGAAGAAAAGGGCACTCAAAGGTGGAACGGGTTAACATACAGTCAACGCGCCTAGTATCAGTGGCGTTTCTTCCCGTTACTACCGTAAACGAGTTGTGGGCGGAACAAAAATTGCGATGTCCGCCTGGGCCCCCGTCGGGCGAGCGGAGATGCGAGCGCGGTGGCGCGCGTGGTCGCGCGCGACCCGCGGCTGGTAATTAATAACATGAATGCGCGGCCGTCGCGGCGACGACGACGGCGACTGCGACGACGACGGCGGCGCCGGCGCCGACGGTGACGACGACGGCGGCAACGGTGACGGCGGCAACGGCGAACCTCGCGGCGACGGCGGCGACGGGGCCCTGGCCCACGGGCGAACTTGCGCCCCGCCCTCGCTCGTGGCGTACCGGGCTAGATTTTGTGGGAGGAGCGAAGTTGCCGCGCGCAGTTTTACCCCAGCCGTCCCCCCGCTTTACTAAAGCTCAAGTTTCGTTTTCGTGAAACGTCGTTTGCTTCGGAATGCAATGAGCGGCGCGCCCTTACTGAAGCTGTTTCCTCGCTTCAGTACAGCCGCCTTCCCGCTTTAGTAAAGCCGCTGCCTCGCTTTAGTGACGCCGCCTGCCCGCTTTAGGAAAGTCCGCGGCCTGCCTCACGAAAGCCCTGGGGATGCGGTGGTTTTGCGGGACCAGGGCCCGGTCGGGGTGCGGGGGGCCCCCGTCGATCCTGCTAGTTCACACCGCGATGCATTTGCTCGAGTAGCCCGGGCGCGTTACATCGGTTCGCTGCGACCCATGGACATGTTTTCAGCGAATTGTAAATGTTCCTTGACTGCAAATTCAGGGCGCGAGCGCAGGACGTGGCTCGGAATTTCGGACGCGCCGCCACGGCTGTCGCGCATCAGAGCGGAAACTCTTTACCCAAAGGCGTGTTTCCTTTTAGCAAATAGCTCCTTCAAAGTTATAGTGTGTAGTTCCCGCTTCCAGTAGTAAAAACACGCGTCTTCATACACGGTGTCCGTGTGTCCTTGCCTCTGCGCCCCGTCCTTAGTCGTTTTCACCGGCCAGCCGCCGCCCAAATAATCCCAAGTTCGGCATCCAAGAGTGGGGTCCTTACGACCCGTCTGTAGTGCCTGTTTTGACCGTGTTGATACCATGTGTGCGTCGCCTTCCCGGGTGCGACGCGCCCGCCGAGAAATCGCATGGTAGATGCGCGATGGCGCGCGCTTTCTGGCCGTACCGCTCGGGAAATGATGTGTTACAAGATGGTTGTACGATGCGATCGGGTCGGACGCGCGCCTCCGAGGAGGACGCATAGTACCACTATGTTGAAGTCGGGCATGTCCATCAAGAGGAAGAGTCTTTAAATCTAGTTCAACAGTAGTCTGGGGACGAGAATATAAGATTATGTTGGATCTGCTTGAGTTGTGTTTTTATGCTTACTGTTTCTTTCAAAAATCTGCCTGTAGGACGACATGCCCGACCTAGCACTATGTCTTTGTGCGTCCCATGTTGAACGCAGGCATTTGGGCACAGCAGAGAACCATAACCACAACATCGGGGCAGCCCACCGATCTCGGCATGTGAGCGTTCTGGTTGTGGCTGGGGTCTGCTGGCCGTCATGGGACGCCACTTCGACCACACGGTACGAAGCTAGTTTCGGAGTTCCGGAGCATTTTCCGCGGACGATCTGTATGCACCGTACCGCGCCGGCGTCTCCCGAGCAGTTGTCGATATTCGACCCAGGAATGGTACGGTGCATAGTTCATCGGCCCATAGGAGCCCAAAGAATCGTGCACCGTACCACGTTGCCGCGGGGCCTGGACGGAGTTCGGGCATGGTTGGGCGCCGTTCTCTTTTTATTTTGGTGGGCATGCGCAAGACATCCCCCATGGTGTATCTTCGATGTGGTTGTGGTCGCTTGCTGCCCCTGCAAGCCGTCCAGCTCTCGCGCCGAAGACCGCCAGGCACCGCCGGATACCGCCGAAGCTCGTCAGGAGACCGTCGACGACTGCCAGATATCGTCGGAAGAGCGCCGAAGACCGCCGAAGATGGCCCTGGACCGATGGGAAACCAGGGGTCCATGGTCGAAAACGTAAGCACCAACAAAAAGCCATGACCCAAATAGCACGATGAAGACGTGGTATCACTGGGGTCCCCGTCTTCGCATTAGGGATCGTAATTGTGGGCGGTTTGGTCTGACACTTCTGCAGAACATGCCCCCCTATCCTTGTTTTTGGGGGTCTTCCTAAATCAGGTCCCCTCCCAAGGGGTCAGGGGTCCTTTTCTGGTTGATCAGTAGAGGACCAAACATAGTAGATAATCCTCAGGACGTGTGTTAGGCCAGTGTGTGTGTGTGTGTGTGTGTGTTTACCCCCTTTAGCCCAACCAGTAGATCAGTACATCGCCTGCGTCGTATCCAAGGTCCTCGGCGGACAAACACATTGGGACTAACACGAGGAGGAGGAGGAGGAGGAGGAAGAGGGAGGAGGAGGAGGAGGAGGAGGAGGAGGAGAGGAGGACGAAGAGGAGGAGGAGGAGGAGGAGGATCATCGAAAGAGGCTGCTCGCAAACACCCCAGCGCAGTCCGAGGCCAGCAGCCGCGGAGGCCCCGGCGCGGCGCCGGCGGCCGCGGCCGCGCTGGAGGCCTTGGGGCGGGCCGGGGTGCCGCCAGGCTTAAGTCGGGCATGTCCTTCTACAGGAGTTGCTATAACCCCCAAAATAGTCAGGGACTATGTTTCAAGCATCTTTCTCATTCTTCAACCGAAATCAGGCTGTTTACCAGCCTGGAACATATCCCTATCCCTATGCTGGGCATCTCCTCATCACGATACCAATCTTAGGGATTCCCTTATTTTTTGAGGGCGCATCCCTAAGATTGTCAGCGCCTCTTGGCGTGTCAATCTCAGGGATCGGGAGAAGTTCGAGGCTGGTAGGGCTGTAGGGGGACATGCCCGGCCGAATGCCAGGCTCAGCTGCTCAGATCTCCGACGAGGTGTTCCTCCGAGCCCGGCCTCCGGGGCCCGGTCCCCGAGATCCTTTCTAGTCAGCGGCCGCAGGCGAGAGCGCCAGCGGCGAGTCCAGTCAGAGCGGGCCGCGCAAAGACGAAGATTCAACAAGTGCTATAAACCCCCGAAATCGTCGGGGACTATGTTTCAAGCATGCCTCTCACCTTTCAGCCGAGAGCAGGCTGTAGAGGGGGACGTGCCCGGCCGAACGCCAGGCTCTGCTCGGATCTCCGACGAGGTTGTCCTTCGAGCCCGGCCTCCGGGGCCCGTGCCCTGAGATCCTTTTTAGTCTTCTGTCGGGCGTGTCCCCCTACAGGGGGAATTTCGACGACAAATAAAAAAATACCCCAAAAATGCGCCCCAAAGGTTAGAAAATATTGAAAAATAGTCCCCCCAGACTATTTCTGGACTATTCTCTGATTATTTTAGGGGGTGTTTTTTATTTTCCGTCGAACATCCCCCTGTAAGGGGACAGGCCCGACTTAATTTTAGTCAGCGGCCGCAGGCGAGAGCGCCAGCGGCGAGTCCAGTCAGAGCGGGCCGCGCAAAGACGAATGAACCTAGAGCGGTGGGCCGAAGCCTCACGCGGCACCTCGGCGGCCAGGCCGTCGAGCGGAAGGGGGCTGACGGCAGCTGCTGGGAAGCTGCACTGCCAGGGTGCACGCATGCAACGCGCTGCAAAGATGGGCTGGCTGCCAGGGTGGTCGGCTGCCAGGGTCTGCAAGCGGCGAGTGAATTGAATGCAGGGGCGTAGGCACCCACGGAACCGCAAGAGTACCAGGGTGGCCGAAGCCAAGTGAACCGATTGCCAAGAGCCGAATTGTGTGCCCAATGTAGGGCGTGAGCATCAGCGAGCTGCAGAGTACCAGGGTGGCCGAAGCCAGGTGGTCCGACAGCCTCGAATCGCATTGAAAAACTCCGTTCCCTGAGATCCGACGCACCAGCACAACTCGGAGCAGGCGGCTTCTGGCCGTCTTCGGGCCCCTGGGGGCCCTCGCCGGGCGTCCTGGAGAGTCAAACAAACGATTCGGGACGAAGCACCGGTCCCGGAGAAGTGAGCCGGACCTCCGGGCTCCACGCACCAACAAAAATTGGATCGGGGGTGGACAGAACCCCCAACAGTGACACGTCGATTAGTGAATTGTCCGCTTTCAGTTTTCGAGAGGGCGCCGCGGCCGTTATTTTCCAGGCTTGCGCCCGCCAGGTTTAGGCCTCAGGTCGTTTTCACTAAACCACGTTTTACTAAAGAGGGGTCTGTCCTTCCCCGAATTGGAGCAGCTGGATGCCTGGGTTACCGGGAGTCGGGAGCAGAGCAAACATCCGGAAGCGAGCCAGGGGGGGGGAAGCGAGAAAGAGAAGAGCAACGCCTCCTGAGAAGGCGGCGGGGCTTCTCAGAAGCCCTCGCGCCTTCTGAGAAGTTTTCTATGTTTTTGGTGAAGGCTCAGAGAACTTCTCAAAAGGCTGGGGGACCTCCGAGCCTTCTGAGAAGGCCTTCTCCTTTTCACTCCCCCCCCCTCGCTCGCCGTCGAAAACGGACCCGGGGCGAGAAGTTGGGCTTGGTGGAAGGGGTCGGGACCTCCGTGGCAGGGGATTGGCGAAGAGACAGCGGCGGATCTGTCAGGGGAGGCGGTTCTGGCCGCAGGTGTCCTTGGCTCGTCGGCGTCCTGCCGGGGGCCCCCCGGGGGCCTCTGGGCTTTGACGAGGGTGCTCTGGAGGGCCTCTGGGCCTCGATGGGGCCCTCTGGGCCTTCTGGGAGATCCTGGGGCCACCTTGGGCCAGGGGATGCCTCTGGCAGCGCCCTGTGGGCGCGCGGGCGCGGGACGTCGCAGGGGCCTCGGTGTCTGCACGCGCGCCGTTCTGCCGGGCGAGGGGCCAAGGGTTTTTTCTGCGAGGGAGCTCGGCGCACGGGCGCGATCCCGCGTCCCGCGGCCTGAAGGGGCGGAGAAGCGCTTTGGCCGACCACACGGCCCTGGGGTGCAGTGCAGTCGGACCGAGGTACATAAGATCGAGGTCGGCTCGGGGAGGGCACCCTGATGTTCCTCGTGCCTGTTGGGCGTTCTGGTGCATCCTGGGCTTCCGCTGGGCCAGCGGAGGGTCTCGTGTTCTCTAGAAGGGTGTTAGTTATTCTGTCCTGGGTCCGACTGTGTGCCTCGGGCTTCTCGCAGGAATCGAGGGAAGAAGCAGCTGCACAAGCGTACAGAAGGGGGGCCCATGCCAGGAAGCACCCTGCTCGCCTCCAGGGTGCCCTGGGTTTCTTGGGCTTCGATGGTTTTGCTGTGGAAGGCGTGGCGTTCTCACACCACAAATCGATGGGCGTCCGGGGGTCTCAGGG